GCGAACTCGCGGCTAGTGTGCAACTGGGAGGCCAGCACCATGTTGTCCTGTATCATCTGGGCGGTCGGGTGGCCAAGTTCTCGGGTTCGGCTGTGGTCGTTTGGAATCCATTGAGATTGGTAAACTTCGGGCACGTCAGTAAACGCGTGATCGAGATTTGGTTGTGTAGCGGCGCTATGGATGGAAGCTGTTGAGCCTTGAGAGCGAGGCCGCTTTTTCGCCTTCGTGAGGGCAAGAGGGTCTGTACAAGCAGTAAGCATACCGCTATGGTGCGTCGCGTAACAAGTATGCGCCGAGATACGTTGGGGACCGAGGGAAGGCCAGGATGGGAAGATGACAATGTCGTGAATGGGGGAAACAGAAGACGGTAGAAGACTTGAAGGGGCGTACCGTGGGTTGAGTCCATCAGCGCCCGTGTTGTGATGGTATGGCGGGCGAGGCGTGCAGACTGATAGCTCTGCTGGGTAACCCAAGTACACACAAGGATAAATGGTGGTGGTGGTGGTGGTGGTGGTGGCGGCGACTAGTACTCCAAACCTGGCGGATGCCAACACGGCCAGGCCGGGGCTAATAATAAAGGTAACGGATATGGGGTTGGGAGCGCACCGCGGAACGTGTCGCGAGTAACAGTGCCGTGCATGCGCGAGTAAGAAGACTCAATGACGATGTCGACGCTGCAGGCAATGGTCAATCGCACATTTTGTTTGGAGGTCTGTATCGGAGAGCGGAGAACAGAAAGACGAATCAACAAAACATGAAAGCGCTAGGAACGTACCTCAATGCGGCCTTGCGGACGGGCTGCCGTGACTGCAATGGACGTGCAGCGACGTTCCACTGGAGGCTGCGGCAGGGAACTTAACCACTGCAAGTCAAAGGCAGCTAGCTGCTCCCCCGCACGTTCCATGCAGACCCGCTTGGGACCAAAATGCCGTCTGATTAGCCGTTTGCCTGTTCGAGACTGTTGCAGTGTTGACTTTCCTTTTGTTGTTCGAGGAATTCGGGCAGTTGACGAACCAGAACACCTGCGCATTCCGCTCCCACTGAATTCCTTGATGTTTTGCCCATTCCTGGGCTACACACTAGAGTCTAGATGTGTGCCTGATCGACATACTATGCCTTTTCCGAACCAGTCACTCCAGACATCCGGTACACTACACCATGACGTTCCACCATGAATTACTGCCCTGGAATTGTATGTCTGGCTGCGTTTCTGGTTGACAGGAGTTGTCATCCCGCCATAGGATCACAGAACAAACACTTTACTTCACTCTGTTGACTAGAGACTGCGCCAGCATTGACTTGGCAAGCATGTTCGCGTCTGACCGCTCGCAGAACGAGGGGAAACTGGTCTCTCCCTCAATGATATTGGTCATAGATACGTTGGAGAGATCAAACTGGTTGTTTTCCTGGTGAGCCATCTGGCAGAGGATTACACTTTTCTTTAGTAAATGTGAAGTGCGCTGCACATGCGGCCGACACCCACCCGCATGAGGTGGAGCTGATTGCACGAAAACGCTAGAGGTATCGCGGGGCTTCGAAAAGCTTCATGTTGGTCCATGTCATGAGTTCTGATGCTCAACTTCAAACGTCCACAAGTTGTCATGGCCGCCTGTCTCAAAGATCAAAGCGCAAAGTGAGTAGAGCAGGCGAGGCAACCTCGAGAGAGTAACGCACTCTCCTTACTACCCAAATCTTCGTACCTCCATGCCCAATTGAAGATTGGACGGATACAGTTTAGCCGCATTTGACCATGGTAAATGTTTACATGAAGCGGGAAGAAGCGACCAAAACGGTAAGCTGCTTGTGTGGATCCATGAAATGTTAAGAGAAGGTTATATCAGGATGATGAAGAATATCAAAAAGGAGAGAAAAACGAGCCGTTCGCAGCGAAGGCGAGGCACAGAAGGAGATGCATCAGGCCAATGAGAGACTGTTAGAATGTGCAACGGGCAAAAAAAAAGAAGTTGCATGTTGATCCGACCCAGGCTCGATCTGGGGACCTTCAGTGTGTTAGACTGACGTGATAACCAACTACACCATCGGACCTGTTGATAACTTTGGCCAAAAATTATTAAACTCATCACCTGTACACTCAGGCCGTTCCTCGACCTTATTCTCGTCCACCAATCCTAGTCAAACAGCTCCCGATGTGGCGTCACTGGGTTCTGGAACCAGTCAGATGCAGTTGATAACGGGAGGAAGCTTTGCGGCCCCACGGGCAGGGCAAGTTTCGGGTTGAGAACAGGATGATCCCCTTTTGAATGCACACGTATCAATCGTCATTGTTCGTTGTGCCCACAGCCCACAGCCCACTTCAACCCGTTCCCACACTCCAACTGCCATTTCCACGATAGCATCACCCCTATCCGCAAAAGGTCAGACGACACATTGCACTTCACAGCATCGTTTCGGTGAATTCGAAAGCCAGGTCAGCAATTTTCTCTCAGCTTCCCGTCTCCTTCTCTCTGCCGGTGGTGCGGGTGTTCACCGAGCACGCTGCGATTTTTAGGCCCAGCCCTCCCGGCTGCCCAACCCACTTTGTCACAGCTTCAGCTTCCCCGCCAGTTCCGACTCAGATTTTCCCCTGAACTTCAACTTTGCATCTTGCTGACGTCGAAACATCACAGCTAGCTCTAGATCGATAGACTCGCTTACCGCACCAAACACTCAAAATGTCTTCGCCTCAGGACCGCGCCCAGCAGTACATCGGCCAGCTCGATAAGGAGGTGCGTAAACCGCAGCCGGATCGCAGACATGTCGGCCACGGCGTCGTTGGGCTTTGCGTAGCTAACCTGCCTCAATAGCTGTCCAAGTACCCTACCCTCAACAACCTCGAGAAGACCACCGGCGTTCCCAAGGCTTATGCCGTCATCGGTCTCGTTGCTCTCTACTTCTTCCTGATCATCTTCAACCTCGGCGGCCAGCTCCTCACCAACCTCGCTGGCTTCGTCCTCCCCGGATACTACTCGCTCAATGCCCTCTTTACCGCTTCCAAGCAGGATGATACCCAGTGGCTCACTGTAAGTCGGGATATGCCTGATGAGGTCTTTGCCTATGGTGTCAATGCTAACCACCGCATTCACAGTACTGGGTTGTTTTCTCTCTCTTCACGTAAGCATTCCACTTTGGCTTTGCGCTTGATGTTGACTTGGTGCGCTTAACATCTAACCACACGGCTATAGCGTCATTGAGAGCTTGATCAGCGTCGTCTACTGGTTCCCCTTCTACTTCACCTTCAAGTTTGTTTTCCTCCTCTGGCTCTCTCTCCCTACCTTCAAGTAAGTGGTATCCCGACTCTACCAGAATTTCAAGAAGACAAGCTTATATGTCAACAGGGGCGCCGAGACCATCTTCCGCTCTTTCCTCGCCCCCACCCTTGGCCGTTACTTCCAGAATGGCTCCACCGCCAGCGGCCTCCGCGCCAAGGCTGACGCCGTCCACACTGACTAAGCGTCTCATGGGCAACTGCCGGGCCTCTTCCGCTCGTTATAAAGTGTGCCGCTTTGAATGAGGCCCGAGAATAGACAGGCAGATAGATGCACGGCCATCGAGTCTTTGCGCTGGGCTTGTTGGCAACCAATCACGCGCGTGCAAGATTATCACAACAAAATCGGGGTAGAGGGATAGTTTGTTAACTAGAAATGTTGGAGATATGAGGTGGTTATAAGAGGACATGTGGTTACAGAAGATGGTGGCAGGATGATTGAGCCTGATGCGTCTAGTGAAGTAGGGGCATATTTGGTATCTAACGATTGAATAAGTGGCAGTAATGAAGCATTCTTGCATTTGGGTTGCTATCACTGAAACACTGGGACGTGTTCGACGGAAAGGCCCATAGCTGGCCATCGTGTAGACGAAGCAATGGGACAAATCACATGATTGCAATGTATGTCTGCTGGCGCAGGACAGCCCAGGACGGGTTTTGTTGACATCTAGACGACGTATAGAAAGCATATCTGCGCTACCTCAATTTTCTCTTCGCCGAAGTGAGCAATATCTCTTCATGTGACTACAAGTACCGTATGCGGAAGGCCAACGACACTGCTGTTTTCCGTGATTGAGAAATGCACTGGAAGCCATCATTTTGGATGGCTGCTGCCAGTAAAACTACAGCTCGACAGGATGTACAACACTATCTAGAGGTAGGTATCGGATGGCTCGAGCTTTGAGCTCTGTTAAGCAGATACAAAACCTAGAGGTACACAGTAATCGGCACACGCACCCCTCTCTCTACCCTTAGCGTACCACAATACCTTTAACGGTACTTGACACTAACAACCTACTTACTAGTTCCAGTGGTAGCCACCTGCCAAAAATTGCCCAGGCAGTTGCTGACCACAGCAATCAAGAACATCCACTGATGTTCTGTCTTGACGACCTCGAGCGCGCCTGCTTCAGCTCGTTTCGAGGCCGCGGGTGAAACTTGAAACCCAGGGGAAACCATAATTGCTGACCTCAAACATTCGTTAATTGTACCTAGGTATTAGCGCTGGCATCGAAAAGATTGGAAAAGGCAGAAACAGCCTGGGCGCGCTCAAATCCCAAGAAACCACCTCCGCCACATACGAATCAGCAACTCGGAACCCGATTTTTATCCGTCTAATACCCTAATCGAACTCAAACCGAAAACGACGGCGACAACCCATGGCACTTCGACTTGCCTCGGGTTACTTGATCGAATTCCATCGCCTACACGTGTTGAACAAGATCCCAATTTTGGGTTCAGCTTGAACGCTACTCGTCTAGCTTACAACCCCGGACGGCTCAACGTCAGCAAGTCGAGGAAGCCGTAGTGTCCTGATCAAAGTGGCTCGTCCAGTGACACCAACGGACAACCTCAGACCGGAGAACATCAAGGAGCCGTTGTCGTATCTCTCCCGGGCATTCCCTTGCCCTTGTTTGCGCTAACCGATCTTCCGATCGATGGCCTGATATTGGCAACAAGTCTGAATAGATCCTCGCCCACAAACGGCGCCCCTTCTCGAGGGCGCGCGCTTGCGATGCACCTCGGCCCCTTGCACTCGCGCTTGGCGGCGTCCTTTATCGCATTATCCCTTCTCGTCGTTTTCCACATCACTCTTTTCTCTCTGGATTGTGCTCTCGCGGCCGAGCTCGAAGATGCACCGCCCATATTGCTATTAGACGATGTCGACTCCGACCTCGACGTTTCCCAAGGTTCCGTCTCAGACTTGGGAAGCCCGCTCGACCAGATGTACGAACCCGAGTTTGCCGCATTCGATAGGAGTATCATCGGGCGTGATCAAGTTCGAGATACCAATGCCTTGATAAACAACGAGGCTTTTCAGTTGAACGTTCGTCAGGGGGATACGGAGCGCTTCGTGTTTAAGCTGTCACAGCTGTCCGAGCGGCAACTGCAGGTTGCGTCATTGGAGCTGAGGGATGAAGAACATACCTGGGAAGATCAAGACGAAGACGAAGATGAAGCTAAAGAGGATGAGAAAGAGGAGGATAACGCTGACTTGAGTGGAAAAGGCCTAGACAGAGATTCTGTGGACTTGAATCTTGCCTCCGCGGAACAGAAGCTGGGGAAACGGCAACCTCGTCGGCTTTTTCTTTCTGCAAACACATGCTTGCAACCTCAAGCATTCAATGCGACCAAGACAACACAGCCTCCACCGCAGCTGACACTGTATGTGTCAACATCGACCGATAACGTGGAACCAGGCCCGGGCGCGGATTCGAACTCTCAAGTGTCGATGGTATTCAATGAGGGTGCTATCATGTACAATTTCACCACTACGACCGACGTATATGTGGGTGTACATGCGCCCAACGTGGCGGAAATCTTCGACAAGCCTTATAACATAAAGATCGCCATCTCCACGGACGGTTATTACTACAGTTATAACGTGGATGACGATGCTGATCTGATCTGGGTTGATAGCGACTCCCAGGGCGCATTGCTCATCACTCATAATTTGACTGATAGTAACGACGAGAAGGAGCAACAGCGGATTATGAATACGCCGCCATACGTTATGTTCGCCCAGGACAAGTCTGATCCGTCCATCAACGGTGTCAAATATTCTTTTTGCGGCCTCGAACAAAATGCCCAGATTGCAACTACAAAGGATGGGAAGTATTCGAACATGGTCCAGACAGGCATGACGAAGCGAGGACAGGGCAACTTTCCTAAGCAGCAGTTCTTCTTCAGCGGGCTGAAGCCAAGTACCAGTTATCTCGGGATCCTGGCCAAGACCAATGTGACCGACACAGGGAGTCCGAATCTCGTTGGAGGTGGCGGCCACGTCTACAAAGCCACTAATTTCCAAACCAAATCCGGTAAGCTCTTATCTCGGAATCCAGGATCCAGCCAGGTCGGGACCAAGGCTCAGGAGCTAATACAAGCAGATCACGGAAACTGCAACATCGTCTTGAATCTTACCTTTTGTGACCAGGTAGCCTACTCGGTCCCCAGCAACCCAAACTTTGGCAACGCCTCTGTTCTGGCCAAGTTCTACGATGACTACGCCGCCGAAGCATACGGTTATTTCAAAAAGGCACTGGCCCAGGTCGCCTGCGAAGCGCCGGTGACCCAGCGCTACTCGCTCACCCGGAACTGCAGTGACTGCGAAGCCGCGTACAAGGACTGGCTGTGCTCCGTGACCATTCCGCGCTGCGAGGATTTCAGTAACAATGCCAGCTACCTGCACCCGCGAGCCATGAGCCAGCCGTTCCCCGATGGCGAGAGGCTCGACAATGCGACTATGTCATTGTACGCAGAAAACTATGGCGACGGCAAGGTCTTGGGCAAGGCCTTCCTCCAGAGCCGCAGCTCGCGGATCGATGAGTTTATCAAACCCGGCCCGTACAAGGAGGTCTTGCCCTGCGATTACCTGTGCTACAGACTAGTCCAAAGCTGTCCGTCGTCCATGGGTTTCGGCTGCCCGCTGCCTGGCCAGAAGGGGTTCAATTCGAGCTACTATATCAAGAACGAAACAAATGGCGAGGTCGTGTGTAACTATCCGGGCTCGGCACACATCTTTTCGGGCTCCTCAAGGGATGTAGTTTCGGTAGGGCTGACCATTGTTGTTTTGGTATTAGTGAGCCTATTGCTCGCTTGCTAGTGGCGCTGCTGGTCCTTTTGCGAGCTGGGACGGTGTTGAAGGGGTTTGGTTTTAGCGTTTGACGGTCTTTATGCTGCTTGATGATCTGGTTGTGCGCGCTTGGGTCGTTTTTTTAAAGGGCTTGTATTAAAGTGCGTAGATAAAAAAAATTGTAGGTATCTTTGGTACGAATCAACACCTTATGGGTTTGTGGATATAGCGTTGGAGAGCGTTTGGAGAGTGTTCATGCACTTGCTTCCCTTGTGGTACCTATGGATTGGACAGAAAAAAAAATACAAAGAGATGGGAAGTTACTGATTGCGCTAATGGTTACGATGTAGAGGGAGTGTTACAAGGCGCTGGATGCTGAGTTCATACCCAAAAGGAATGAAGCCCGGAAGTGGTTTCAACCTCTCCAAGAAAAAAAAGGTGTTCATTAAGGAAATCAAGAGGCCATGACTTCGCAAAATGTATAAAATACTACTGGTATTCGTATAACTGGTAGTACTTCCTGGCACAAAGATGCTTCCGACCGTATGTATTAAAAAAATAAGTGGATATTCTAATTTTTCGAGAACACCCCAGCCTCGAAGTGCGCATAAGACATCTATCTGCTCTCAGTCTCTCCGAAAGGACACGTCCACACCTCGCCATCTTCCTTCAGCATCATCCTCATCACCACCAGCCCCAGCCCTTCTTCTTTTGAGAATCTGGGGATGCTCCCGTGTTCGAAGCAATGGCGGTAGCAGCAGCAGCAGCAGCAGCCTCCGCCTCCTTTTCCTTCTTCACCTGCAAGGCCCGTACTTGAGCCTCAAGCTTGGTTATCTCAGCTGAGATGGTTCATAACGTGTGAGTGTCTGTCTCTTTTCTCTTTCAATCCATGCCGGTAACAGATACTGGTACTGAGACACGTGGGGTGGACGAAAAGGAAGGGAGGACATGATCGGGAAGGGGGCACAAAATGAAAACTCACCCTGGCGCTCCTCTTTGATCTCATTAACCTCCAGCTTTGACCATCCCCAGTAGACGACCTGGTAGACGAATAAAGCAGTGAGTAGACACTTGGCTACTGGACGGGTGAAGGTCTTGTAGAATACGCCCTACTCGATGTTTTTTGCTGTTAGTGGTTGGTTCGAAATCTTCGGGAGGTTACAGTGACCTACCGTTGCCGAGGGCGGGTTCGAAGAAGAAGAGTATTGCCTCAGTTGAGACTGAGCTTGAAAATATGTCCTGGGCAAGGGCTTGGTGTTCTGGGTAGTAGTCCTGGTGAGAGTGCGAATGGCACTACCGGCCGCGGTCCTGGAAATCATGTTTTTGTTGATGTTGCTTGATTTGATGGGCTGGATAGTATTGACCTATTCTCTTTATGAATATGAGGCTGTACCCACTTCAAAGTGATGTGAAGCGAGAGAGGATTTTTTTTTGTTTTATGACGTCGTTGTTCGCGAATCGGGAAATACCAAGATGGAAGACAAATTCACAAGGTATGTTTGTGAAATTGGTCAGACTCAAAGCCATGCACGGGTCTCGTATGCAACGGGCCACGAATTGGCGATACCCACAGCCGCTCGGAGGTTCCGTCGGCGTCGTCGAAAATCGCCAGGCGACGGGCGGTGCTCGCCCTTCCGGACGGACGGTTCATACCCGGGCCGCAAGCCGCAAGCCGCTAAGCCGTAGCGGGCAGTTAGCGGCAATCACCCTAGTACACTATAATTTGAGGGATCGTCCGCTGCAGGGATCCCCTCGTTGAGGTGCTGGAATGCGGCCCACGCGCCAGGCGTGTTCGACAGGGCATTGAGGGGAACCTCAGGGAGCGGACAGGGCAGTTTGAGGCAAGTGCTGTCAACGACACATGGCCAGATCTGCCCCCAACTGGATGGGAAGGTGCAGCTGGTCACTTTCGCTTCGTGTACCTAAAACTGAAGTCCATTACTTAGTGTGCATTGGACAATCTGTCCCCAAAATCGTAATCGATTAAAGCTCCCCCTTTGATGTAGGCGACCAGCGACCCTTCGATATTAACTTGTAATTATTTGCGCCACTCGGGGATCAATCACCACTTCAACCATCATCGTCGCATCTCTTAACATAATAAGACGCATTAACTGCCCGACTGCTTCTCCGCGCCAACATCGCCAGCCATTCGCCGCATCTCCATTCCCATCCCTCCAAACAGAAAAACACACAGTCAACAGACACAATGGTACGATCACGCCCGCTTCAGCCCTTCGACATCTCTCACGAACAGACAATATAGAATGGGACAGAAAAGTTGCAGCGTATCGATTCCAACCTTGCTAACCCCCTTTCTCCAACCAGGCGCAAACACCCCAGCAAAGGCGAGCGAACCTCAAGTTCCAGAAGGACCAGGAGGCCCGTCGTGGAAAATCCGAGGACCAAATCAAGAAGCGCGTAGAAAAGGCGCCCAAGTCCCCTATCTCAATGTTTTGGCTCGGTAAGAAGAACCATTGCGGCCATCCAGCACCTCCTCAGCCACAAATCATAACGCACTGGTTTGACTAACAGTCAACTCATTTCTCCAGTTGTCCTCGGCTTTGTCGTATTCGGCGGTCTCGTTTTCGAAGTTCTTTCGCGTCTGTTCCTCAACTAAGCACGGGAATACTACCGTGGTCATCGCAAAATGATCACCATCCTTTCCAACCCACCGATTTCAGACAGGCTGTCTATAACTACGGTTGCTTAGCAGTACGGAGGAATAAAACGAGCTGTCGAGGGCTGAAGAAATACACTGACGCCGATCAGGATTGGCCAATAAACCCGAAGAGCATGGGGGAAGCTGTCACGCTGACATCCGCATAAGCAATATGGGAGCAGGAGAATGCAAGAGGAAGAAGGGACAGAAGGGATATCTTTTGAGCGCTTGGTTTGAGCGAAAGCGCATGTAACAGACACACACACACACATATATACCACGGGTAATACGGGCAATGAAAAAGGAGCCAGGGAACTGATTTGGAGGTCATGGAAACAGAACAAAGGGCATTCTTTCCCCCATTTTCTGCTGGCAGCAATTAGCGTGAACTCTTCAAAGCCAAACATTGTTGCAAACCAACAACTGCAAAAGGGATCGGTCTTGATTGCGAGTCCCGTAGTGATTACTTCCATCATTGTTATAGTTTTTCGAGTTATGCTCACGAATGCCAGCACCTGCTGCTGCGAACAGCATCCCCCCACACCCCAACAGGGCATCATCATCGTCGACTGCCCGCCTTATGCACCCAAACCGCGTCGCTGACCACCCGTCTCGAACTTCTGGTGGATGCCAGCCTTGAACTGCTGCTCGAGCTCCTGAGACACTTGGTTGACATCGAACGTCTTCTTCGCTGCCGCAGCGGCGGCGGCACCGTCGGCAGCAAGCTTCTTGCCGCCGAGCAACCTCATCATCTTGGACTGGCGAGATGCGCCACCGTCGAGCGCGTTGACGTTCCAGTTGGCTGCGAGTACTGCGGCGGGGTTGGTGTTTGTGGTGATGGTGGCGGCCAAAGTAGCTGTCGATTCTTTGGCCTCTGTAGTCTTGGTCTCGTCTCCCTTCTTCTTCTCCTTCTTTTCTTTCTTTTCCTTCTTTTCCTTCTTTGACTTCTTGGACTCCTTCTTGCTTTCAGTCTTCTCTTCCTTCTCCACAACGGGCTCCTCCTCCTCCTCCTCCTCCTCCTCCTCCTTATCAGTCTTGCTCTTCTTGTCTTTCTTCTCCTTCTTGTCTTTCTTCTCCTTCTTCTCTTTCTTCTCCTTCTTCTCTTTCTTCTCCTTCTTCTCTTTCTTCTCCTTGTGCTTCTTCTCGCTGCTGTCGCTGCTCTCCTTCTCGCCCTTGGATTTCTTGGCATCCTTCTTAGATTTCTTCTCCTTCTCAGCCTTGTTAGATCCAAGCCCCTCCCCCTGTACGATCTTGGCGACCTTGACGATTGGCTCGTCCTTCTGTTCCTCCTCTTCGTCGCTATAGTGATCGCCATGCTTCCGCTTCTTGTCCTTTTTGTCCTTCGTCTTCTTCTCCTCCTTCTTCTCATCCTTGTCATTGGACTTGGACTTGTCCTCCGATTTGCGTTTCTTGGAGGGCTTCACCTCGTCCTCAGCAGCCTTTTCATCGTTGTTCTTTGCCATATCGTCGTTATCCTCCTCACGCTTGCGTTTCGCATCCTGTCTGCTGCTGTCATCTCTCGATTTCCTGAACTTCTTCCCCTTCTTGGAGGCCGACTCGGTCTCCGCAATGACTTCAGCCGGCTCAGAAGTAGCAGTGACCTCCTTGGTCTTGGAAGCTTTCTTCTCCTTCTTGTCTTTCTTGTCCTTCTTGCTCACATCAGCAGTAGATGCCTTGTCTTTTGCTTTTGAGGCGCTCATTTTGATGAAGACTGGGGATGAAATCTAGATAACGACATTTAGTGAGGTGATCCTTGGGTGAATCAGAGGGAGTGATTAGTTGGTGGTGGATAGGATTGTACCGATTTGAAGAAAAACTTTTCTCCGTCAAATTGTCGGGCTCTTAACGTTGGATATTCGTGAGAACGGAAGTGTGAGGGGAAAACTAAGGTTTGCAATGCCAGCGGGGTGAATGTCGATTTGCAAATCGAAGGAGGAAAGAGGCTTCACCAAGAAAACGAGAGAAAAGTTATTGTACCACGGTCAACCCTAACCCTTTTAGGCATTGATGTGAAATGGCGTTGTACCTTCCCCTGACCAAACAACGACAAAAGGATAGCAATTCGAATCAGGGTGACCAGATGGAACGATTGCTTCCAGCTGTACAAGATGGCATTAATGTCTGTATGTCTGTATGTTTTTTCTTTCCTTTCTTTTCTTTTCTTTTCTTTTCCTTTCCTTTCTTTTCCTTTCTTTTCTTTTTTCCCCAGTAACAGCGCGCATGAGATGCCAAATTTCCTTCTGTGTTCTATAGCTGGTAGAAGCTATCGAGACGACACGACGCTAAACCCAGGCCAAAGTGGAGACAATGAACGATATTTGGGTATCAGACCAACCATACAATAATAATCAACCAAACTGCCCTAAGACTCCTGCCATGCCATTCTCTTCTTGGGCGATACACTCAATCCTGTCTCCTCAGCACTACCGACTCGGGCTGAGGGGCCTATTGAAACCGCCGACACGGTTCATGTACTGGCGATACTCTGTCTTCTTCTCCTTCCGCACCGCCCCAACATTATTACCCTTGACCTTCTGGTTCTTGGTAGTTCCAAAACCGCCAAAGCCCATCATGGAAGCCATGTCTCCAAGGCCATCGTCTTCAACAATCACGTCTTCTTCCTCGTCCTCGTCCATAGGATCTGCATCAAACCTTCCCCTCGAAACATGTTCCTCTTCGTGCTCTTCTGTCCGCTCTCGGGACGCCTGATGCTGCTCCTCCACATGTGTGCTGTCGGGTCGGCGTTGGTCGTGTCCCTTGACCTTGAACGACACGGGTGCCGGTGCCGGTGCCGGTGTCGTAGCAGCTGGGACGTTCTCAGATTTCGACCTTATCGAAAGACGGTGATCGTCGTGCGCTGCTGCTTGTATGGGACTCCGTGGAGATTTCACGTGTGGTTCTGGCTCTCGGAGCGGTGAGGCTGAGCGGCGCTTTTTTCTGTCTTTTGGGGTGTCAGTTACCGGTCGGTGTAGGTTACGAACCAAGGACAGTCCTGCGATGGGGATGAGTTCGGTTGGCAAACGTACCTCTGTCTGGTTTGCTCATACCATCCTTATCGACGTCACCTCGATCACGGCGAGAGTCTTTAGGACCGCCACGCCGGCCTCCTCTACCTCCGTCTCTGGCCCAATCGTCGCGTCGATCGTGCCCCTCTCTGTCGCGAACCGGGGAGCGCGAGCGCCTGCGGTTACGGTCATGGTCACGACCATGCCTGTCTCTGGATCGGGACCTGTATCGTCGGCTGTCTCTATCTCGATCGTCTCGGCCACCCCTACCTCCTCCCCGACCACGGCTACGGTCGTGATCTCGGTCTCGCTCGCGGTTGTCTCTGCCGTGTTTGTCTCTGTCGCTGTAGTCTCTCGCGCCCCCACGGTGAGGGTTACGAGCGTGTCTATCTGCCATGTTTTGTGCTCGAGTTTCGCAAGTGTTGAATGTCTATGGTTTTGTTGGGGAAGGATGTATAAGTTCAACCGGAAACTGTGTGTTCTTGATGACGTTGTACGTGGAAATTCTGGAGCATCCAATACATGGTGTAAACGCCGGCTGAAACCAGGCGAAAGCTGCAGGCCGTTGTAGCTTGGCGGCCGCTGCAAGGCTGCAGATGCGGGCGCCGATCTTGTGGAGTCTGTTTGGGTTTAGCGATAAGATAAGCATTGAACCCTGGCACCTAACCCCACCACCCCGCGATCAACTTCCCTTCGGTTCAGGCCTTCAGGGTTCTCAATGCTCTGACGGTTACGTCCTGCTCGAATGTTTTTCGTTATCCCGGTAGAAGCACCATTGGTTCAGTCCCAGGGGGTGTCCAAGGACTGAACAGTTGTTGAGCTTGAGGACAAGAATCGAACGGTCAATGTGCGGACTTTCTGCGGCATCCGTTTTCCTCGTAACTCTGCTTTTCAGGCGATTAGCTTTATCGAGCTAGTCAGTGTGGGAGTACAGGATCAAGAACTGGACAAAGATACAGTAGAGGTACCTTTTCAATATAACCTCATCATGCCAGCTGAATGACTGTAAAATCTCTATGCACAACATACACTCCCCTGATCGACTCTAAGACGGCGACAACAACAGTTTGTTGATCAGGCTTTACTCAGATCTCGTCCTCCTCCTCATCAAAATCATCTTCCCTCCCCATGTCATACAGGATCCGCCCCCCCTCTCCTCCACCAACCTCTGTCTGCGCGTCAAAGTACGGCAACACAATTCCTTCCCTGTCGTTCCTCTGCTTCTCCGTCAACCCCAAATTGAACGTGGAATCCGCCATCTCCCCCTCCGCACCGCCCTCCGCGTCCTTCGCTGGCGCAAACAGCGGGTGGTCCGAAAGCAGTGACAGACTCGCGCCGGCACCGCCTCTTGATGGGCTGAGAATGAACCGTTCAGCCACGGCTCTCCCGCTGCGCCTCCTCATCTCCATCTCCACCACGAGTCCCTCTGGCTGGTGGCCCGTCCGCAAGCCAACAAGCACGCCTTCACGCCCTTCGTGGAGCCCCCACTCCGGCTCGCGCAAACTCCGCATTTGCGCCCGCTTGGTCTCGACGGCCTGGTAGAGACTTGACACTTTGAAGACGGCGGTGGCCATGTGTGACAGCAGGGTGAGCGGGTGGGGTTCGTACTCATTGACGGTTCGGGGAAGAACGAGAGGTACGTCGTTGTGGTAGACGGCGACGAGGGAGGCGAACGGGTTGATGATGCTGCCGAAGAAGAGGGGAAGGACGTGCGGCTGTTTGGAGGCGAGGGGGTTAAGCGAGTCAACCACGATCAAACATTCTTTGACGTAATGTTAGAACATGTTTCTGTACTGGCGCGGTGCATACACTGCACTTACTCTGGGAGTTTGTTGCAGTGTCTTTGGGTGTTTGGCTGTTGACAGGAGCACAATATGAGGCGATCTCGGTTATGAGAGCCGTGACTGACCTGCCCCTGGCCTTTATAAAGATGTCGACATTGCGGGGCTTCCTGGCAGTAGTAAATGACACAAAGAGTATTTTACTTCTGGCAAGCTACGCGCGTGTTGGTTAATAAAGCGCAAACACCATCGGGGAAAGAAATCCTTACCTTGCCTCTGTTGATGAATTCCTGTAAAAGAGGTCCTGCACCTTGCTCAAGGGTATCGAGAAGAAGTGTGAGTGGGCTTGCGCTGTCTCGAAGGTTCAGCAGCTTCTGAAAGAGCAGCAGGCTGTGGGAGCGATGATGCGTTTGAGCCGAGGGCGCCATGTTGACGCCTAGTCGAGATGACCTTGAAATGTATGTAGACGAGGCTCGTGGGTCTGGCAGAGGGGATAACGAGGAAGTTTGATTTAATCAAGTACTTTGACAACGTGTTGCGTCAGGATTTTGAGTTCTTGCTTGTTGATTGTGGGAAGACTGAAGTGCTGGCCAAGAAACCGATTTTAGGGCTGCGAAGATGGTTGCGGTTATCGCAAACTTGCGGTAGCCACTATTCACATTACAACACCCGTTTATATACCGTATGTAGAAGCAAGGGAATCAACTGAGAAGGATAATGAGGTGCTATATAGTATTGAAAAAAAAAAAGATCACGAACCCAAGAAGATGAGGTGTGAAGGGTGCGAGCAAAAGATTTGTACAAAAATGAACGATGGTCTCTCCCGCCGGGAATTGAACCCGGGTCTCGAGCGAATCGAACTGATGTTCAAGCTTGACAAGCTCACATACTGACCACTATACTACGGAAGAATTACAGTTGTGAACAACTGTCGTAGTGACTGTTGGAATTTGCTGCATTTTCAGCTACTTATATACCAATTTTAACATATCAAAACGCTTATCATCACTATAGACAAGCTTTGGTTACCATGAGTGCCCTAGTCATTGTTAAATACGCGAAGTTTTCTCGCTTGATATTACTCGTCTACCCACCTGAATGGGTATTGTTAATTATCCATCAAACCTCTTGGAACTGGCAGACATCTGTGATTCTCTCTTCCGGCCTCAATCCGTGTTACAACGCTCAATTGTCCATGTTTCCGAAATAGGGTGCCGAAACAGGGTGGGATACTACATAAGCCTGACTCTACGCATGTCCTTTCCGCCGTAAATTGCGCTTTTCCAGTTATCATCATGTATTCGTGGCCCTGGATCTTTATCCCGCGACTGTGGTCACTTTACGCTTCCCGAATTACCGTCCAAGTTCGTTCAAGTGACTGAGATCTGTACATTTTTTATAGTTGGGATGGTATATTAATTACTGGTAGATGCGGCGGTGCTTCAAAGTCGGGGCCCGTCATAGACGAAGATCGGCATACGTCTTCCTCGCTGGTATTCTGAGTTCTATTGCTTCGAAGAAGCATCAATCAACCTCATGTGGTACTTCGAACCGTAGTTCGGTATACCGTGCCCCGTTTGTATTGGATTTTTCATGACCGTTGGGGTGATGATCAGCGACATGGCTTGTATTCGTCTCGGCCATAACAACAGATGCTGTATCGGCAGGAGGTACTTCTTGTATCACTGAAGCGCTCTTGGTGCGTCCAGGAAGAGCTGGCATTCAATTAGCATCGAAACATTGTTGTCATGTGCGAACATGAACTTTACCCTTGTGCTGTTCCTTTGTTATTGCCTTGTTCTCGGACACTGCTATAGTAGCATCTGTCTCGAGCGTCTCATTCTTACGGCTGGTCTTTTGAAGCAACTCCTCTGGTATCTTTGTCGCCCAGTCGTTCTCAAACTCCTTTATCAGAAAATCGTCATAATCGCCTCGTTTGTGCTTTTCATGAGCGACCCATGCCTCCTGAAGCCATTGTTCATCATGTCGACCCCGCTCAATGTTTTCGAGGTAGCGAGCACAATCGTATCTGAAGTGATCATTGTTCCGTAAGGAGACAAGATCCGGTCGGGCAATTTCGGTCCCTGGGTCCAAGATATGGCTGTCGTCGGGGAATTTAGCGAGGATGTCTTTCCTCTCATCTGGTGTCAACACCTCCCATGCTCGCGGAAGCAGTAGGATCGCCTATGGTCAAGTGTCAGATCATGGATGTGGGATAACTTCATGAGAGGGAAGAGGTACGAACTCTGAGATCAGCATTGGTAAGAGGTGATTTCTCATCGGTATAGACGAAAGGTGCTCCCCACTTTCTGTCCAGGTTTGTTTTCTTTGGCGCTTCTCCGGCATGTCGTGGCCTTTTGGCAGTGCTAGATTTGTCTTGGTCCGAGGCTTTACGCTTTCCGAGCTCAGTACCCAACTGCTCATCACTGCTTCCAGAATGACGTGTAATTTTCGAACTCCATGCATCGTTGTTAAGGGCGGCTTCCTCTGGCGTTTGCCCACTTGCCCTTTTGCGTGCCCTTTTCGTCACTGTACTTGGGTCCTCATTTTTCGGACCTTTGAAGCCCTGTCCATTGATCGAGGAATCGGCGACTGTTGCTGCTTTGATTGCCGGTGTGGCGATTTCCTTCTCAACCTCCAGGTCCTGTACTGCCGAATCCGCATGCGCATCCGGCGGACTCAAAGCTTTTGGCTCGCCCACATCCGCTGGAACGGCCTCGGCCTTGGACGAAACTGGGCGAGCCGCTGCTGAAACTCCTTTTCGCGGCTGTTCAAAAGCATAAACACAATGCGTGCCAGATCCAGAACATCGTGAGCAGATTGGCTTCTCTTTTTGGCACTATCGCAGCTGTCAGACACAAAAACAATCGGGGAATATCCAGAGTTTCCGACCAACCTTCAGCTTGTTCTCACGGCAAGGAGTACACGCGCCCCTCGTCAGTTTTGGTTTGAGGATATTGCGTGAATCAGCCACACCTCCTTTAAAACTGACTGCTTCAGGCAATGATTTTCTCTTCTTGGGGACGGAACTTGGCGCAGCTGATGGGGCGGTTGGTTCTTCTTCACGTGTTGGAACTTCTGGTTTATCGACTGATCGTAGTTTCTGTGGTGGGAGATTTATGGCAGCCCAGGATGTAGACGCTTTCTCTTCTGGTTGCCGAGCTTCTAACTGATCAGATGGTCGAAATTCTGTCTTGTTTTCAGGGCAAGCACTTGATGCCGCCAACGGCGTGGCCGGTTCTCCTTCAGGTTCTTCAGGTCCTTGAACCTCTGACTCCTTGACATGTCCTTGCTCGACTGCTGACTTTTTGGTTGCTGACTTTTTGGTCGCTGGCTTTTTGGTTGCTGGCTTTTTGGTCGATGGCTTCTTGACTACTGGCTCCTCGACTGCTGGTTCCTTGACTGCTGGGTCCTCGACTGTTGACTCTTCGACTGCTGGTTCCTCGACTGCTGGTTCCTCGACTGCTGGTTCCTCGACTGCTGGTTCCTCGACTGTTGACTCTTCGACTGCTGGTTCCTCGACTGCTGGTTCCTCGACTGCTGGTTCCTCGACTGCTAGTTCCTCGACTGCTGGTTCCTCGACCGTTGACTCTTCGGCTGCTATCTCCTCCAAAGCCACCCGCGCAGCAGTATCAATCTCTTGGGCATAAATAGCATTCCAGTCCCCACTTACGCTCCGGGGAGGTGAGACCGGAGGAGAAGAGAGGACGGAGGAGAGCGGAGAACTACTTCCTTCTTCAGCCATCCTTCAGAACACCTTCAGTTAGTCGCCTTTCTGGGAAGATAAATCTTGCGCGTTGAAGTTGTTCAAGGAGTGATCGAACGCGGCACTGTGGGTTTGCCGGCAAAGGAAATTGACCGTCAAGTCAGATCTGGATCTGGAGAGATCCGGAACTACTTAGTTGTTGTGATATTAAACGATACCAGATAGCAGAAACTGGCAGAATGGCGCCGTGAAAATCACCGTCTGTCTTTCGCAAGTCAATGGTGGTTCATGCGGCTGATATGACTGTGGTTACATCTGCGAACAAACTGATGTCTGGTGGAAGGGAGGGGAGAAGTGGGGGGTTTATAAAAGTAGAGAAAGAGATACGTTCAGGTGAAATTGTGGTCAACGAAACGAACCGAAGTGGTACTACCCAGAGAACAAGTTGACGCGCAAGGTTGGGAGGATGTGCGAGGGAACGAGGTGGAACTGAATCTAACCATCAACCTGAACTGGGATGGGGAATATACCGACTGTGGTGAATGATGGGTACCTCTAGGTAAGTAGATAATCCACCTCCAGCTCCCCTTCCCCAATATTGTTCGGTTGAAGATGCTCCTTCTTCAAGTTGTTGTGTGATGGACAGGATGGGTGGGGATGGAAGCTGAAGGCGCCAAGCCCGGGAGGGCACTTGCATGACACACCCCGGAAGCTAGAGGTAGCTTGTACATACCTCTACTGCACAGTAGGCGTGAATAGCGTGCCGGGCGAGACTGCCTACTCGCACTATTTAACTGCCTAAACAAAACTAACTTGCAGGCCCTGCAGGGTGAACTTTCAACACATTTCCAGCGCCAGGACCGTCATCAATGTCCCGTTTAACGACCAATCCTTGATACCTACCTAGGTGCTAGGTGCCTACCTACCTCTAGGTAAGGAAACACACGTTGGCCTGGCGAAATCATTGCATCACTCTACCTACGGGTGATGTTTTGTTTTCTTCAAATACCTAGCGATGTAAAGAAAAAAAAATATAAGAAAAAGGATAGCGAGATACAATCTGGTCTGCTGGTCGACAGGGAAAGAAAGCATGCAACGAGAGAATGCCATCGTCGGTGCGAATTGGTTGCGGTAGGTAGAAGCCACGTACCTGACTGCTTTTGACGGATCAATCCCACTCGTCATCACAAGCTTTTATAAACCTTCCCTTGTTCACTCTCCTCTCCAACGACACCAACTTAACAAATCCAAGCACGCAACTGAACTGGCCTTGATTTCGAGCTGCACAACGATACTAAAGGTCACCGAAATACAACACAATGAAAAAGGAGTGATATAACATATTCTTCACAATGATCCGCTCAACACAAATTGCACGGCTGGATGGTTCGTGCCCCCCCCCCCCTAACTAACCCCCTCGACCAACATCTGTGTGCACATGGAGGTGTCAATGTCCTGTCTGGTAGCTAACCAAGACCCCTCCCCTCAAAACACAGGCCTCATGCTCTGCGCCTCCGTCGACGACGAAGCAACTGAATCCTCCCTCAGCGAAGTCAAGTCCCAAGTCAAACTAATTCTGCGCCGCCTGACGCGCACCTCGGAACCGCAAGCCAGCATTGAGAGCGGCTCTCTCTACACCCTGCACTACCTGATCCAGTCCGACATCGTATACTTCGCCATTACGGACCGGTCATACCCGCGCAAGCTAGCCTTCACCTACCTTTCCGACATTGCGGGCGAGTTCGCGACGACGCACACCCCGGCACAGCTCATGAACCCGACGCTGCGGCCCTATGCCTTCATGGACTTTGACAGCTTCATCAGCCGCACCAAGGCGACTTACAGCGACACGCGTGCGACCCAGAACCTGGATAAGCTGCATGATGAGCTTAGGGACGTGACCAAAGTCATGACCAAGAACATTGAGGATCTGCTGTACCGCGGCGACAGCCTGGAGCGCATGGGCGAGCTGAGCAGTAGGCTGAGGGACGATAGCAAGAAGTACAAGAGGGCGGCTGTTAAGATCAACTGGGATTTGCTGCTGAAGCAGTACGGCCCGTTTGCGGCGGTCGGTTCCATTATCATCTTCTTCTTGTGGTGGAGATTCTTCTTTTGAGTGCATCACAGGCAGGGAGCATCACCGGTAGCGGGTGAACATGATACCGTCGGGTGGGTTTCCTCAGTCAGCCTGGCTCTGTACGATGCTGTGACGGATAGCCTACATGGATTCTGTAATTATTCTAATATGTGTTTGTACGGCATTGGTTTTTGGCGCTTGACCTAGCATGGAGTTTGGGTAAAGGAGGTTGGGGGGAAAGGGGGGCGAACGCAAAAGGACGTTTGCCCAGGTGAAGTTTCAGCTATCAAGACATGTTGCTTATAGGTTCTTGCTTTCCACTCCTTCATCCGATGCCTTCGTAAAGCCTGACAAGGTCTCTATGGACGACTGTACCACATTGTCACCGATGCTCAATCATGCGTATCTCCTGGTTCGTTCCAGACCGGCATCTCTTCTGCTCAACGCGCTGTTTCTGTCAAGCGTTGATACAAAATCTTCATCTGAGATAGCCTATCGGTCTGTTTCCCTACTTGAAGTAGAAGCCCTTCCCCCCCCAAACTCCAATTCCAAACCGCTAATTTTTTTTTTCAACTTTTTTGTTCTCAATCCAGAACAGAAACCGACACCCTGGACACTAAGCCCAAGCTTGAACCACCCGCACACGCACCCACAAGCCGCAATCACATAACCAAACAACTCCCCGCCGCCTTTGGCAATAACGCCGGTATACTCGGCACCGGCAACGCCGTATGATACCACTCCAGATGCTCCTGGAAGCTGGCCAGGTCCTCGAACCCCCTCTCGTCCTGTGCCCACTTGACCTCGTCCTCGCTGTCCTCACCCTGGTCCACGTACGTGTATTCGTCGCAGTAGGGACACCATATCCTCGCCAGCCAATCGCCGGGGACGGGGGCAATGTGGTTCGCAATTGCTATGGGCGCGAAAACGACCGTTTTAGCTTCGCCTGTTTTGGCGCTTACGCCTTGGGCTTGCCAGTGGGGATATGTGTTTTCTGTTGTCGTTGTTGTCTCTGTCTGTGCTTCTTTTGTTGTTGCTGTGGTGGTGGTGGTGGTGGTGGTGATGGTTGACGATGGCAGAATTGCTGCTGGATATGAGGCCGTCACTATGGTCGGTAGTATGAGCTTTCTTGGAGAGTTTCTCGCTATCGTCGTTGACGTCGGGATACTTGCTGTCGTACTTGCACTCCCTCCATTCGTCTTATCCAACGCCGCCCTCGTAGATGGCATCCTCTGTAGATCCGGCCAGACGATGAACCCGTCGCAAAAGTCGCATACAAAGGCCACGTCGTGCTCCCCAAACCTCTCGAACCTCCCAACCGTGTTGCAACATGGAACCAGATCCTCAAGGCTTAACCTCCTCCCCCTTCTCAACGCCGGCCGTAATGCCTCGTCCGTTGGCCCTTTACCGTTTTGCTGTTGTTGTGGCGGCTGCTGCTGTTCTTGATACTCATGTCGTTGCCACGGCGGTATACTTTCGAGGCCCCTCTGCTTGCTTCCCCCTTCCCTAGTCTCCTTTTCCCGTTTCTCTTCCTCCTTCTGCTTCCGTATCCGCTCAGCTTCCTCGTTTCTTCGCTGCTGGCGATACACCTGGTAGGCGCCCAGACACCGTGTCCACGTCCCTTCCTGCTCGGCCGCGAATATGCGCCGAGAGGCACGGCATTGCGTGCGGTGAAGCTCTAGTTGGAGTTCCTTGGTCTCGCTGAGCCAAGTTGGGTTGATGGGCCCACCTTGCCGAATCCAGTCTTTGTAGTTGCGAGCGTGGAATTCATATTTGACCAGGAGGGCGCGCAGTTCGTTGAGGGACTCGGCTTTTTGAGAGGGTTAGTTGGTAGAGCAGGCAAGGAGAAGCTTTATCTGAGTGGATTTTGGGAAGGAAAGAAGTGATGATGATGGTGGTGGAGGCGTGTGAGTGAAAGTGTCAGGCGAAATAGTCAACCAACAGCAGAGGAAAGATGACGTGAGCTTGAGAAAGAGCACGGTGAGGGTCAGAAAAGATTCAAGATATCATGGTATACTTACGAGTCCTGTCTCCTTCATAGTAAAACTGCCCATTGACCAAGCGGCCCAGTTCCTGAAAATCTGTCTTTGCATCATCCAACGCTTCTTCAAGGGCGCGAATCTGTTCAAACTCGTCAGGGCCCCAGTGGCGCTTGTCGGCAAATCTGAGTGCGCGAAGTGAGTCGCTCAAGTAGGTCGCAATGCTGGCCAACAGCGACCCGACCGTGTCGTGATTTGTGCTGGGACCTGTACTCATATCTTTTTTTTTTTTTTTGGCGATGGTTGCTCTGCTGGCTATGACCTCTTGATATCGGATCCCCCTCCACCTCCTCCCGCTGATATCTTTTGTCTAAGCCGTTATCGTCGTGTCGTCGTGTCCAAGCGCTTATTATTGGCCTTGATTCCCCTCGCCTAGCGTATGCTCAATGCCGCTTTATAGCAGTAGATGACCGCAAGTAGATGTAGAGTTGGACTACCAACGAGACTCTCGTCACTAACAGAAGTCGAGCTTGGGGGCTTGTAGGTGAGACTATCTGTCTAGTAGGTAGGTATCTACGAATGCGCAGCGATGGATTGTTGTCTTGCGTCGTCATTAAGTGGATACACCGAGCCCCGATCCGGCAGCTGTAAGTACGGATGAGGTGAAGAAGAATTTCATCACAGAGTTGGACATGTGAGAAAGGGGCCAGCCAGGGAACGAAACATCACATGGAAGGAAGACTCGGTCGCCCAGGAAGGAAATGGGGATGGATCGATGTCGAATCGTCGTGCAACGGGGGTTCGGGGCCCGGGCGCTTGGATACGATCCGACGGTTACGCCGGCGGGACCTACCTCCTCTATGTCGGGCACTGCTAGGCTATTGGAAGGGCCCTGTGGATCTCTCCTTGGCGGAGACAAGCAGACATGCCGGAAGCCCGCTGCCTTTCAGTTTTGTACACTACTGTAGTACAGTACGTGCAAACACCAGGAAGCTGCATCGGGGAAGAAGTTGCTGCAGTGTCCAGTGGCAGCGGAACAACGGGTGCCATCCAAACTCTTCAAAACGGAACCCTGCAAAAGGACAGCAAGGTGCTCATCAACCAGGGTTATTTTGACTCGTATTGTCGGTTGGTGATGGGAGGGCCAGGCCCCCTGCTGTAGTAGGGCATCTAAATGGGTAATAAACGAATGGGACGGGGGTTCGGGGACGGTTTTGTTTGCGAAACGTGGAAATCGTGGAGATCTTGGCGGGGAGCATTTCTACCTAGGTGCTTAGAGTAGGTACGCTAGAGGCCCATATGGAGGCCTCTCTACATCCGACTCCGTTAATTTTAGGTGGGATTCCCTGAGCAAGCCCTTCGTTTCCTAAAACCAGCCGTTAGCGATGACATCTACCTCTGCTTGTAGCCTCCAGCTTCGACGGCCGGGAGGGGAAAGCATCTTACTAGGTACCCAATGGATAACGGTTGCAACCTACCAAAGGCTCAGCCCTACAGCCAGAGGTGCTCGGGAATGACCGACAGCATGGTGGGTACAACAATTGACACCTTTGGACTGTTACATGGAGGTATCGATACACATCCCTATATTTTCACGACATTATGACTGCAGTTCGGCACGCGCCTATCTCTCACAATACAGGCTCATCACTCATTGATCAGCCGTGGGTGCACCCACAAGAAGCACCAGCTCCCCAACAGGTGAAGAATGCATTCTGTATTAATATTGATCTATCTTTGCTGGGATGTTTTGCGCCATTCTCCAAGATGCTGAGCCCCATTTCCCATTGATAAATCGATACCAAACCGGGTCCGATATCGTGCTTCGTCAGCTTCACTTCCTCTTCTTCGCTTTGCCAGTCTCCGTTCCGCTAGCCTTCGCGGATGTAGTTCCCACAATCTGTTCTTCAGTCGGTGCAGGAATTGCCGCCTTCTGCCCCTCCGCCTTCTTTTCCTCGACGGCGTCATCCTCGCCACCCTGTCCGAACTCGTTGACACGGGTGTAGTCGACCTTGTAAGCCCATCTCTGATACAGATAAATAAAGAAGATGATATCATCGCGGAAAGTAGCAAGGCGATGGAGGAACGGCATTTTGATGGTGAAAGCAAATAAGTCGTCGATGAAGGTGTTGAGGAACTTGTACATCATGGCCTTGCCAGGCATGTGAGCAACGCTCTTGAGACGATAGTTGATGTACAGCGAGGGAACCATCATCAGGAATCCATAGGCGTAAACCGAGCCAACAAGGGTGGCGATGACGAATGAGTACCACGACTTGTGGGTGTCGTAGATCAGCGAGTAGATAGCATAAGCCATCAGAAGAGGAACGCCCGCCATGTACATGTACTTGAAAGCAATCTCATCGTACTCCTTGGTCTTTTCCTCTGTCTCGCTGAGCTTATGCTTGTCCTCAAAGGAAATACGGTATGGTATGAGGGATCCGGGTGCAGGTCGAATCCGCACGTTAACCACCGTCGTAATCTTCCATAGCTCGATGAGAATGCCAACGCCCTGAGAGCCGAGAATCATCCAGCTAGTGTTCTGCGACTGGTCGACCAGATACAAGAAGATGATGGTTTGCATAAACACATTGGCGAGGATGGAGCGCACCGAGATGCCAACGTTGTCCTTCTTCTTGCGATAATGAGCAATGTCGGAACCAAACGCAAGCGTTTCGAGAATCATGTGCGCAATACTGGCAAAAATAGTGACCCCGAGGAGGATGGGATTCGAATCCAGCAAGATTTCCTTGATCATTTCGATCTCGCTACCATCGCTGCCCGTGGACAGGGGATTTCCGAAAGCCGCCGCACGCGCCGCTTCCTTGGCGCTGAGGTCGATAGACGCCATGGTCTTGAACTTCCATTCCGCCAGGTTGTTTAGATCAATGCGCATCGGCATGGTCTTGATTGTCTCGTTGATGATGGTCATCTGACTCTTAAGCTGCCAGAAGGTATTGACAAAGAGGATCGGGTAGTACCACGTGTTCTGACCGGTGCCGTCCCTTGCACCGGTGGCCTCGAGACGGAGAAACTGGCGGACAGCTGGGTGTGTTTGGGCAAAAGGCATAGAACCGGTATTGGGGATGAAGGAGAGCGAAATGTTGGGGTGGTAGTAGTTGGTGATGATGGGTCTCGATGGTTGCTCTACTTCCACCTCCTCCGCCTCCTCAACAGCATCCTCCTTGCCCGCAAGTAGGTTCCTGGTCTTGAATTCCTTCTTTCGGGGAATGTAGTGGGTTAATGGCCACACAAAATGGTATGCCGATCCAGAATCGTAGTTTGGCTGGGTCGGGTCGAGGAGGGCACCGGACAAGCCAACATAGAAATGCCCCCAAAGCGTGCCATTCTTCTGAACCTCGGTGGGAATGTCGATGGTCCTTTCCTCAGTGCGCGCGTCGCTCCAGTTGCCGATTGTGAACCTCTTTTCTTGGAACACCACCTTATCCGCCGGGGTCTGCTTCAACGGGGTCGGAACGAAGGACGGCGAAATGGTGACTATGATATCAACCTGGCTGTTCTCGGGCCAGATGGGCGCAATGAGCTGAGGGATTCGGTTGTAGACTGCGCCATCATCGAGCCGTTGAGGGCGCTGGTCGTACGAGGGTACGCTTGTCGAGACTTGGACGGTCTGACCGGTTGCATCCTGAACTGTTGCTGTGTTCTGTCCACCACCCATAAACTGCTTCATGACAAGCTGCATCAAGACCCACATTGCAACGGCCTGGAGGATCTTGGAAAACATGGAAGACTGGGTAACCCGAGACTGTCAGAAACTTTTCCATGCTACACCGTTCCAGCTTTGGATTGATAACTTACGCCTTGCTGTTCCTCCTGCCGCGCAGGCTGGCGCTGGGCGCCATTTCCTTCGGGCATCTTGGGAGAGGTGACAGATGGAGAACAAATCGAAGGTTTTTGTCCCACTTGAGCCCAACCAAGGTGATACTTGATGTATGGCCCGTCGTAGGTTACCACAGGACTCTGTTGTCAAGAGTGGCCCGGGCTGAGGTGGTGATGGTGATGATGTTCACGGGAGGGAACAGCGTGGTACTGTAATTTTTGATAGGGGACTGTAGAGGTACGTACCTAGGTACCCTCTGATTAGGCGTCTCAGCGCTCCCGTCACGACAAGTCGGCGGGGAAACAGCAAGGAGGGTCCATTCGAACTTATCCACTTGAATGTGCTATGTACACTACAAGGAACAACAATCTAACCTCGACCGAGTAGGTACTTAACCTCTAGTGATCAACCTCTGGCGTCCCGAGTCCAAGCAACGTGTCCCAGTTCGTTCGCAACTTCATATTTACACTACAGTCACGGTACACTACACTACTATACAGTCGGGGTAGCCCACAACACCACAACTGGTTTGATATCGCGTGTCTAGGAATCGGGAGTCGATTGGCCGTCACGCCGTGTGACCATCCTATCCATAGCTTTGAACCATTTACTGCCGGGAACCGGAGCACGTACGAAAGCATTCCGCGATGGTTCCTCCTGTCAAAGTACACTGTCAACACTCCCGTGACATGGTACATTCCAGCTGCAAAAGTCCACCCTCGCGCGTCACAGTCACAAAGATTGCGATGTCAGTCTTGTAAGTGGAAGTTGATTCAAAGAGCGAAAGACATCCTGGCTTCGAACATTTGGGTGCGCCTATGTCCTGCGGCTTCTCCCGGCATAACAAGGCCAGCAACGATTTATCTACCTGCAACGAGCTTGACAACCCACAATCCGATTCGCCTGCTTTGACCATTGTTCTCGGAATGTCCGTCTGAATTTCACTGATGCCCTTTGCTATCTTCGCGACGATTCGAACCTGATGCTCGGAAACACACCCAACCCAGGGCAGAACGTCTAAACTTCCCTGCAACTTTTGAGAGGGCCCGGGTGTTCTCTTATAGATCCACTCCACGCCTCTCAAGGGTCCCTGAGAGGCGTCCTTGTCGAGTCATCATCCAACACTTCACTCTCGTGAATGGACGCCTTGGATGTTGACTTCACCCCCCAGCCTTGATAGAAATCCATCCGAAAATTATCCTGCCCCAAAATCTGACGGATAGCTCTTGTTGGCTCAAGCCGTAGAAGTTTAGCAGAAGGTTTCAATACAAAAGATCTGGGCCCCGGTTCTTAGAACCCACTTTGCCCTTCACTTTGTATAAATATCTTGAACCCAACGCTACCACTCCGCTACCCTTACCTTCACTGAGTCGCCACTCTCTCTCATAAGAGCATTTAGAGAGACCCTACCACACGATATCCAGAACCACCAAGCAACGTTTGGTTCTTGACATACAGTAACTAAACAAGGAGAGATAACCAACATGTCGACCAACGGTGTTACCTCCAGCCCCAAGCGGACCAAGATCTGCGTCTACTGCGGCGCGTCCGCCGGCAACAACCCCATCTACCTCGAAGCCGCGCGCCAGCTCGCCCGTACCATGGCCGCCAACAACATTGACCTCGGTACTGACTTATTTCTCCTACCCAAATAATACTACTCTACTGGAACTCCTCACTAACAGCAAAGTCACAGTCTACGGTGGTGGCACAGTCGGCCTCATGGGCGAAATCGCCAAGACCCTTGTTTCCCTGTCCGGCCCTGACTCCGTCCACGGCATCATCCCCGAGGCTCTGGTCCGGTACGAGCGCGACCCCCACTACACGTCCACCCAGGTGAGCGGCGGCCAGAAGGATTCCGCCGCCGACGAGGAGGCAAAGGCCAAGCAGCTTCCCGTCCCTGACGAGAACGTCTTTGGCCGAACGACCATTGTCAAGGACATGCACACGCGCAAGATGATGATGGCGCAGGAGGTGTTAGCGGGCGGCCCCGGATCGGGCTTCATCGCCTTGAGTGGCGGCTACGGCACCATGGAGGAGCTGTTCGAGACGGTGACGTGGAACCAGCTGGGTATCCACGACAAGGGCATCGTCCTGCTCAACATCAACGGCTTCTATGACGGTATTCTGCACTGGATCCAGAACAGCATCCAAGAGGGATTTGTCAACCAGGCGAATGGAAAGATCATGGTGGAGGCGAAGAACCCGGAGGATGCGATCAAGGCGCTGAGGGAGTACAAGGTGTCCGAGGCGGTTTTCAAGCTGAACTGGAGTGATGAGTAGGCAAGGAGGGTAGGAGACGAGGGAAGATCGTTTTCTTGAGGTTTCCCTTTCCTGCTTGGGAAAGCAGTTGCTGTTGCCTTGCATCGCGCAGCTTCTTTCTGGATGGATGACGGCGTTCAGGGGTCCTGTTTCTTAGGCTGGGCCATCAGCTCTCGGTGTAACAGTTTGCTTGATCGGTGGGATTCGCGCCATGATGTCAGTAGACACAAAACAATGCATTAACATAAAGGGGTCTTGTTCATCTCATTACTTCATTCCGGGTGTATGCGCTCCATGTGCTAAATCTGCACCTATGCCTCAAAGTAAACCCCACATTTTCATCCTTTAGCTATCGACATCCATACCCTCGCCCTCGGCAGCTGCCGGGGCAGCCTCTTGGTTATCCGCCACACTCTCTATCCATGCGCTGACGTCTTGTCCATCGTACACCATGAATGGCTGCGGCTTGGTCGTGCCGTCCTCCTGCTTCTCGACACCCACAATGGCGACGCTGGTATTGTCGATGGTCAACTCGCGGTCTTGCACCAAGCTCTCCTTGAGCGCCTTGAGACCATGACGGATCAGCTCCTCGCGGCCGCAGTCGGCAAAGGCCTCTAGGTTCTTCTCCAAATATGTGCGCGCCATCTGGCTGCGGGCGCCAATGGCAAAGGCCACCATCTCCTCGGTCATGCCGCTGGGCTGGAACTCGAAAAGGTGCGGGCCGTGGTCGTCAACGCCGGCGACCAGGAGACCGACACCGTAGGGCCGCTTACCGTAGTGTTGCGTGTTGATCTGCGCCTTGGATCCGATCATGTCGACAAGGGTCCGCACGGGCATGTTGCGGCCGTACGTGAGGCGGTGGCCGAGGGACTGCTGCTTCATGAAGTTGGAGAGGACGCGCGCGTCCGAGGTGAGACCGGCGATGGCGATGCCGACATGTTCGTCGATGGGAAAGAGCTTCTTTTGGTACGAGGAGAGTTCTTCGGCGTTACGCTGGACAGGACGACAAGAACATGGTCAGCTTCACTTGGCCCTAGGATGGATGGGAGGATACATGTATCGGCAGCGTGGTGCACGAGGGGTGGTCGGGGCGAAGTACCTTGATCGCTACCAGGACGGCGTGTGTCTTGCTAGCAATTCCCACCACCACCGAACCCTGCTTTACTGCTTCCGCCGCATATTCGACCTGGAAAATTCGCCCTTGCGGAGAGCTGAAGGGAAAGCAGTTGTTAGCTGAATGTCGAGGGCAGACCTCTTTAAGTGCAGAGCTTTGGGCGTTTGGAAGCAGGGCCCAGTCTGGCTGGCGGCTGCGGGACGGCTTCGCTTACAATGTGACCGAGTCGTTGTCGTAGTTGTTCCTGAACATGGCTGCTGGACACCTCTGTCGAGGAGATTGGGAAACAAGAGCAGATTGCGGCGGGGGTATCGGGGATCTGTGCCGGCAAGTATCTCGTCGGTTTCTTCTAGCGGGTGTTTGGAGGACGCGAAAGATTGTTGTTTGTGCTGATAGTGACGATGGTGGTGGTGCAGTCTGGGTGGGATGGATGGGGGGAGGTCAGTGGACAGTGGTTGCTTCTTCCCGCGGGCAGTTGCGCAGGCAGCTCCTAGCTTCGTCAGGTCCCGCCGCCCAGGCAATGAGGGTGGGATGTTGGGTGACGGAGGGCGGGACAACGCGCGGGCGGGCTGGCGGGCAGGCAACTGGTACGTCGCTGCAGGTACCTCCCTTGCCCGCCAAAAGAAAGTCAGACCCACTTTTGCTTGTACACACTTACCCTACCTCCATTACTTGTAGTGTAAGTGCGGGCGGCCAGGTGCGCGCTACATACACTACAGGTATGGAACGGAATGTGCTGAGCGAGAGCCAGGAAGAGGCTGACTGACGACAGCCAAAGCGTCAGTGCAGTCGTCACTTGTTCCCGCTCGCTGGAGCTCCTCCAACGACACGGGCAACTCTCCACCACAAGCACACTGCATCACCACCATCACGAGTTGTCGCCTGCTACAGCAACGAGTCGACGAAGCGCGCAAGCCGAGTAACCCACGCGATAATTTGTCACGTTCTCGATCACAAAGAGCAGCAGGCAGCGCTTACATTTCCATCGATTACGAGTTAGCCACGTCTGCGCAACAAACACCTGTGATCCCGGCAGGCCCGCGACACTTCGACTCTACCTGGGCAGATTCTCCGGGTTACCGGCGTAAACGACACCCTGATCTCTACTGTGCCCGAAACTTGAACGCCTTCGCAATCAGAAGCTCTCACATATCCACCCGAGATGGCAGCAGGACTCAAGACCATCATCGCGCTCTCCTTCGTCTTGGCGGTGGGCTTCCTCCTCGTCATCTTGTCATGCGCACTATGGAAGGCATACTACCCGCTGCTGGTGGTGGCCACCTACGTGTTGGCGCCCATACCCAACTGGATCTGCAGCCATTGCGCCAATCCGGACGACTTTGTTGAGAGCTCGGGCGCTGCGGTGTTGGATCTGGGTCGCTTCTGCACTGGTTTCCTGGTCATGATGGGGCTTGGTAGGTTTACTCCTCCATCTTGTGGCTGTCGTGTATCCTGTGTTTGCGTTGTGTTGCATGTACGATAGCTGACATCTCTCTCCTCCCCTCTTCGACACACAGCTCTTCCAGTAGTTCTCGCAAACTCGGCCATCATCACGGTCCCGGCCATGATCATGTCCGTTATCGGTGGCCTGTTGATCTATGGCACCATTATCAGCTTCGCCATGTTCTTCCAGGAAGAGCAAGACTTCTGACTAGCCGACCAATGATTTCGACCACGACAGAATGGTCCAGAGTCTGAGACACACACAGCAATGACACAGAACTACAGAGAAGCAGCGACTTCCGGAGAGCGGTTGGGTGCGGAACCGATTTACGCATGGTGGGAGACCATGATTGTACAAGTGCCGGGACTTGAGCCGGATGACAGCTATGGGATATGATCAAATGGGTTTTGGGAGAGAGGCGGGCACTGGCTGATGAAGCGCTTATGGGCTGGGCTGGGCTGGATTTGGATTATCACGAGACAGTTATGAGGTTATTTTTTTTGCGGTGATCATCTAGCGAGAGGGCTTGACGTCTTCCTTCTCTCCACCTGCAATGCATCGCGTTGGAAAGTCTACTTTTTAATCCCGCCGTAAGGTATGCATCCGTTGAGCTAATATGACAAGCCACAAAACTCCAACCCATTTTAACCTTGACACCAAGACGACATTCTAGATACATTGAATATCGTGTTCTAACCCTAACGCACGCCTGGGCCCACAATGATGAAGTTAGTTATCTTGCTTTTGCTTTTCGTCTTCCCTTTCTTCCACAGCCTCTGGCCTCAGACCAGCTCTGCTCGCCATGGACAACTCATCGAGTCTAACCCAGATCCGCAAACACCTTCAACGGCCCAGCGAGTTTCGTAAACATTTCCTCCCGCTCACCCTCAGGGGTACTCAGAATGGTAACCGCTCCTCCAGCCCCAATATGCCACACCTCATGTTCTTCCTCACTCTGGCCATCTTCTCCTTGTCCCTGCACAGTTACCCGCTCATCGTCCCACCGGAACAGACTTCGGATCGTCACGCTCCAATCTCCTCTCCCGCTGACACACATGTAGCCAACAACACCCGAGTACAAACTGCGCTCACTGTTCTGCTCAATCTGCTGCAACAGCTCGCAGCTGCGTTTCTTGGGGGCTCCCGTCATGCTTCCCGGCGGCAGACTAGCCGCGAGGACGTCCAGTCCCGTGTATCTCTTCTCGTCAGAGGGTGGGGGTAGCTGCCCTTCAACAACAGTAATCATCTGAAACACACTCTGATACTCCTCCACCTTGAGCAGATCTCTCACCTCAACGTTACCCGCCCCGCAAATCGAATGCAAGTCGTGCCGGACCAAGTCGACAATCATCAGGTTCTCGGCTTCCTCCTTAGGCACGTGCAGAATCTTCTCGGCCTGCTCGAGCGTCGAGACCGCTTCGGACTTGCGTACTGTTCCCTTCATCGGCCGCATTGAGCACCGCCCGTGCCGGTTGTACGTCAAGAACCGCTCGGGCGAGGCGCTGACGAGCGTCGCGCCGCCGAGGCGGAGGTAGGATGCGAATGGGGCTGGTTGTCGGGAGCGGAGCGTTTTGTAGAGATGCCAGGAAGAGGGGACGGAGGAGGAGGGGCGACGCTGTTGTTGTTGCTTTCGGTTAAAGGTTGAGCTTATTCGCTGTTGTTGTTGTTGTTGTTGTTGCTGTTGTTGCTGTCCTTGATTTTCTTGGGGAGCAGATAACGGGATCATGTCGCTCAGGGGCCGAGTGATCTTGGTTTGGTCTGTGAGACAGAGCTCGTAAGAGTCGCCGGCTGCGATGAACTCTTGACAGGCCTTAACCTTGGCCTCGTATTCCGGTATCCGAGGTGTCTGTATTGAGGGGCTCGTAGAAGGATGGCGCGTTTTCACCTTCTTGGCGGGTGAAGGCAAATCGTTGAGGAATGGGTGTCGGTGATGGGCAGAGACTGAAACAAGTCGGTCTGCGGTGCTCCGCATCCAGGCAGCATCGTCCAAGCTTGCATCAGAAGAAAATAACTCCTGGATATGGGCCAAGCCAAGACTGTGATCTATGACCACGCTCTTTGTTACCCATGCCAGACAGACGTCAGGTCGGTGGTGTGGGCGTGTTTCCAGACGGATGTCGATGTCACTCAGGCCTTGTTCATAAGTGATGAAACCTATGAATCCTCCCAGGAACGGTAGATCAGGAAGCTCGACGCCACTCCCCAGGCTCCGCGTCCCATGGAAACTGGCCACGAGACCCCATATACCGCCGTAAGAACCGAGGAAAACCCGTTCAGACAGATCCACCTGCAAGCCGTTGAACTGCTGAAGCTTGAAAGTAGCGTACTCATCACCAGTGTGGTACTCCAGCCGCAGTGCCTCTTCCAGTCCTGCTGCGATGATGCTGTATCGACCTCGCACATCTGCTCTCGACGACGCCGTAGCAGCCGCGTTTGCAGATTCCAAAACCACCACCTTGTCGGAGCCATCCAGGCCCAGCTCCTCCACCACGTCCGACACCTGCACGCCGTGCGGCAGACGGACCGTAATAGAACGGTGCTCAGGTCTCGTTCCCATGCGCTCCCACCACATCTTGTTGCTCTCGCTAGTAGTAGAAGACGACATGTGCTCGTCACCAACCGGAACTTGTAACATTGACAACAGACTAGGCTTAGTAGCCTGGTGCGCCAACCTCTCGCCTTCAGCAACTTCCACCACCACCCTCTTCTTCTTTTCGTTCCAACTCAGCGCTTCTTTGAACCAGTTCTCAATGACTTTGTTCCCCTCTTTCTCTGTGCACACCGATTCAGGGTGGTACTGCAGCCCCCAGAAAGGTTTGTTCATGTGCTTTATTCCCATCAGGATCCTCTCCACCTCCCCGTCCTCGCGCTTCTCTTCTACCCACGCGAGCGGTAAGAGATCTGGACACCTTTGGATGGGCTTCCATTTCGCACCTCCCTCCTCCCAGTCCGCGTCAGAAACCTCATGCTGGCCAATATCGCCACAAAGCGAGTGATAAAGGGTCGCCTTGAACGGTTGAACACCCCGAAAGATGCTGCTGCTGCCGTTGCCCTCACCGTCACCTTCACCGCTGCCGTGGGAAAGATGCAAAACCTCCCTCACCATCCCATGCAACCCCCTCTTCAGCCTCTTCACCTCCCCACCACCATACTTGACCAAGCTCTGAAACCCGAGACAGATGCCCAGGACGGGTAGGAGTGCACCACCTTCTCCCCCCTTTTCTCCGTCCGCTTCCTCAGCAGCAGCAGCAGCAGCAGTAAGCTGCCACACATAATTCATCAGCCCAACATCCGCATCGTTATCGGGCGACCCCGGCCCGGGACCGCATACCACGGCCGTGTACTGGGCAAGTTCCCTGCGGAACCGTTTGCCAAAATTGGGCGAGGTAGGATCCAGGAGGGGTGAGTCGATGGAGAGGACGTAAACGTCTACATCTTCGAGGAGGGTGGTGAGGAGGGAGGTGATGTTGTTGGAGAAGGAGTCGTAGGCGTCTAGGAAAAGGATTTTGTGCTTCTTTTGCTTCTTGTCGTTGTTGCATGTTTTTGCTGGAGAGACATGGTTGCCATTGGTATTTTTGGATTCAGACGAATGAAGGTGCTTTAAAGACGACTCGGAGAAAGACTCAATAGGATGATGATGGGTGGTGGGTATAACCATCTTGGTGTTAGACTCGGATATGGGTTGGTCGTCCATGTCTTCCTTGCATATGTAGGACAAATTAATGAATGAGGGGTGTGCTGCAGGAACGAACTCGAACCCTTTTTTTTCTTTTTTTCTTTTTTCTCTTTTTCCCTCAAGTTTCCTTCTTACACCCACATGAGTCCACCGGCTAACTCACTTTCTTGAGCAAAGGGGGAAAATAAAGTTTTGCGCCGATTTTTGCGAGTCAGTGGTGACATTCGTTTAACAAAATCTCGAAAGTCTTGGCCACCGAGCGTTTCGGTCAATCGCAGTGGCGAGCGGCTTTAGCGTCAGGGAGTTTTGTATTGCCAGAACCCTAACCCTGGCAGATATTGATCTCCGTCATCACAATGATAGCACTTCATGTCGTTCTGCAGATCAGAACTCGTGTGATTAGCTCTATGCTACTACTAGGGAAAGTCATTCATGGATATATGCCAATTAATATTTACTCTACGTGTCATACAGCTTCATATCATACTTTCATGCTTTCCGCCCGAGCCATTCCCACTAACCCCAGCCCGAAAACCAATGTCAACGCTTGTGCCATGCATGGATACATCTACCTATATCCTCCCTTCCTTCCTGGTGTCCAGAAAGAATCATCAGCTTGAACGATTTACTCATCCATATCATTCCTGATCACAACAACTCTAGCCGGTCTCCTAGAGCACCACACCCTCCTCTCCCTTTTACTGCCCGCAATCTCCATCCCCATCGCCGCATCTTGCATCTTCTCCACCTCGCTCCTCCTCTTCCGCCTCTCCTCTTCTTCCTCCTCGCTCGGCCTCCACACCATCGTCTCTTCCACGCTCGCAGAGATCTCAAACTCGCCTCTACACAATGCCGTGACGCCCATAACAACCTCGGCACTCTCTCCACCTGCCAAGAGAGGTAGTGCTTTCTGTAAAGTGCCGTTCCAGGCAAACTTGCGGGTGAAGTCGAGCGCGACGTTGAGCGGTCGGTGGCATAGGGACGGCATGAGGCGGACGAGCGGATAGATGGGCTGGTTTGTGCGGTTAGTGACAGCGACGCGGAGCTGCAAAAAGGACTCGACCTTGGCGATTGCGTTTGATTTGTGCTTTTGCTTTTCAGGGGAGGATGGCGAGGCGGAGGCATCCAGAACGGAAATTTCGATCCCGATCTCATCCACCTTTACCGCCTCAATCATGCGGCTCGTCAACCTCATAGCCCTTAACTCGATGCTTCCGCTCCTACCGCCGGCAATGGTTCCCCCTCCTGGCCCGGTCCGCCACGTTCCCATGAGCGAGTCTAGCACTCTCTCCCTGTACCAGAACGCCTCACGGTTGGCTCGTTCCATCTCAGGCGTAAGCTTTGAGCTGACAATGAACTGCCTCTGCCGAGAGGGGTTCAACACAGGAATGGACGCATAAGGGTCCTCGAGGTAGACCCTTTTAATTGGGAAGATCACTCTGTTAACGTTTCCAGGAAGGATATGCTCCTCGAGCCTGGCTCCGTCCTCTGACTCGAGCTGTATCACCATATTACTCGGCCAAGCATTGCGCAAATCCAACATCAGCAGGCAATGTGTGTCGGCGGTCAACTCCGACGTGCTCTCCTTGTTGCTACCCGCCCGTAGCCAGAGGGGCTCAGGGATGCTGCCGTGCAGTGGGAAGACGTCCATGCGGGCTATTTCAATACTGGCGTTGACAGTAACGGTAAGTGCCAGCGAGACCTGACGAGTAAAGAACCTCTCCTCTTCTAGCTCGTCAGGGGGCACGCCTAAGCAAGCGTAGTCAACCTGGATGAGGCCGTGTGTAAGACCTGGTTTCCCGAGAATCTCAAAGTCGAATGTTGCTGTGCCGCCAGGAGGAATGTACCTCTTCTGGTTCCCTTCCTTGCGAATACGAAGAGCCTGCTTCTTGGCAAGGATGAGCTCATATTCATAAAGCTCAGCGGGAGTGGCATCTCTGCTGGCCATTGCGGCTTGCAATGGTTCCTGAGTCGAATCTTGGAAGGAAAACAGCAGGAAATCGACTGGAGTCGTGGTTGATAGGTTTTGCAGCGTGACTGAGAACTTTTGGCGCTCCCCTTCAAGGATCATAACCGATGACTGGGGGAGCGTTGAAGACTTGACGACGACAACTGGTTGTTCGGCAATGACGTTAAGCTCAAGGCTTTCTGGCTTAGGACGCTGCGTTGGAGGTGTACGCTTTGCGAGGGGGACATCAAGTGCCGCGAGGCCGATGCCTTTAACCTTTTGTTCTTTCTCAGGAGCCCATTGCTCAATGAAAATAGGAAACCTTCTTTCGCGGCAGCCCCTGACTTTGATGATAGCACCCTTAATCCTCAAGGTCCCTGCAGCCTTCGGCACTCCCGATATCCTGAGAACTTGGGTACGATAAGGCCCTATGACGAGGCTTTCAACTGCAGACTCGAACCCGGCCCCTTCAGTATCTAGACGGATGCTCTCCAGCTCCAGATCCATTTCAAATGTGTTTTGAAAGGTCAGTTTGAATGTTGCCGCCTCCCCAGCAACCAGAACCTTTTCGACGGCTGCTGCATCTGGCTGTTTTAGAAAAGGGTTATAGATGAATGGATTGACGTCCTGCGAGGTCCTCGTCGTCGTCACGGCATTTGGCAGCACGCTCCGAGCATGCGAAACCGGTGTTCGCGTCGTCGCCAAGGGTTCGAGCTTAACGCCCCTGAGAAGAAACTCGTCCCAATACTCGGCCGCCAAATGATCCATACCCAGACGCTTGGCAAGATTAGACGTTTTCGAGATGTTGGTGGCGAAGCGTATCTGGTCTTCTCTATGAATTGCCGGGTAAGCGTCCTCGCGCCGCAGCCCAGGAGCGGTACCGCTTCCAGCCGTCCGTAGGAGGTCGCTCGAGTATTTCAACACGCCAGCAAAATCTGGAAGCGCTTCAGAGAAGCTGACGCATGTCCTCAGAATGTTAAGCTTGATGTCTCGCATGCCGAAATTTCGTAAATCGGACTGTTTCAAAATTCTTGTAACTACTGCTTCGTCGGAGTCGTCCCTTGTGGCTGGGCCTTCCAAAGACGCCGTCGAGCCCGGGTCATCGGTTACCACTCCGTACGTTTTGAGCAGGAGGCCGAGAAAGGGACCGATGCCCTGCTCGATATCATTCTCGGTTAGATCCAGAGCACCGGCATGACCATTTCCGCCGAGCCCATTAAGACCTACGAGCCCAGCTGCGGGATGAATCCCAACATCTGCGGCTCCCCTGGTGCGCGCTTCCACCAGGCCGCCGATCAGAACCGACACCAGATCCCTAACGATCATAGCCTTCTTCCTCTGGAAACCTAGTAGTCCTAAGACGGATGCAATGCCGCTGAGGAGTACTATCCGATCAGCGGTAGTCAACAGTTCAGAAGCAGAACCCGGATAAGCCTTCATTAGATTCGATAGGATATGAGTCCTTGTTGGGATGATAGTAAACCTAGGAGACGTGGTCAACCGTTTTGGTGGCGGTGTACCAAGGACCATCATCTCCAGAGACCGTTCGTCGAGCTTCCCATCCGCGATATGCAGAGCCGTGAGCATTCTGCAAAAACGGATGATGGTCTCAGACATGGGTAGCGGTTGGAGATTTTCGGCTGTTATCCTCGAGTAGAGACTGATGATACGGTCGAGCAGCTCTGGGATGTACACCTGTAATCTCCGTAGCCAGCGCGGTTGGTTCGGATCTTTCTGTTCAGCCTCCAGGATCTGGTTCGCGAGCGCTGTCCCTTTGTCGGCAGTGGGTAGCAAGATGGGGTGCACGTCAAATTCAATGCCTGCCCAACCCAGCAGCAACAGCGCTATTAGAGAAAGCTCCAGGGCCTTTCCGTGCCAAATGTGATCATTAGTCGATTTGGCCCCGGCTGCACCCTCAGTCAGCTCTCTGAGCGCGTCAATCCACCGACCAGCCTGGAGATATAGCGAGCCCAAGACGATCTGGAACCTGCTCTTTCCCCTGTGTAATTTCTTGTCGGTCGATCCGCCTGAACCAAATCCTTGGACCGACACCCTATCCTGGCTCTGGGTCCTGAAGACATCCATGAGGTCGGGACGCGGAGGCAGTGCCTTCTCAGGACTAGCTGATTCGTCTCCCGTGATGTCGTCAAAATTCGTAGGCGGGTTAGATAGCCTGCTTCTTCCATTTGGCGGTGTTGCCGGTTGGCCGGAAACTGCACGGTTGGAACCAAAAGTGCCTCCCTTGAAAGGGACAGGAGGCATGGACATGCGCGCCTGGTGGCCCCTATCAATAAGCCCGCTCGCCGAGACCGATCGGTTGGTTGGCAGTGTAAACTGGGAATTCCTCCTCGAAGGGTCTCCTATAGGTCCTTGTCCCCCATACATCTGTTCCGCGGTCGAAGCGTGACCGGGCGAGTTGATAAAGGTCATACCCTCATATGACTTGGCAAGGGTGGTCATCTCGGCGAGAATCAACGAGGATATGTCACACATGACCGTTTTCATGGTAGTTCTTTTATGCTGCTCGGGTGGCGGGATTGTAACGATGCCTTCTGGAATTGGTATTGGGTTCTCTTCGGAAGGCACATAGTCGAACAGCAGTACCTGGTGCACAAGTATCCTGGGGTAGCGGTCCCTTAGGTCTTCCAACTCCTGATCTAACGAGCGTATGTTTGTTTCGGCGACGGTCCTGCCGCCAGATTGCCTCTTGCTGAGAACAACGTTATTGATCTCGGAGCCATCGGCAATGGCAAGCAAGGCCAGCGGCTCGCGATACAGGTCGAAGGGCACCAGCGCAAGGTGCGAAGGGGGTGGCACGTGTGTCATAAGATCATAGAACATGGCGCCGTCGGGGAAGGCCAGCGGGGTGAACATATCTAGGAGAGGCAGATACGCGGGTCAGCAAGAGCTCTCATGGACCTTGGATACAAGCGGGTGCTATCCCTACTTCTGTTTGGACGTCCATCGGCGGTGACGTCGCGCAGCTGGACGACATTCTCGGGGGTCAAGCTCTTGACAAAGGTGTCAAAGCGGTCACGCTTAATCCTTCCTATGGGCAACACCAAAGTCTTGACCCTCGCCGGCGCGACGGGCAGGAAAGGATCCGGAGTCATGGTCGTCTCGGCGAGGTCATTCCTGTGCCTTGGGGCCGCGGTGGGATGCTGCTGTTGAGGTTGCGTCGCTAGCTTCCTTCAGATGGAGAGAAGGGACATGTCGGGGTCCAAGAGGAGCTTCGAAGCATCGGGCAAGCAACGCGACCTGTGCTGCTACCTTGTTGCCCTGCCTTGAGGTTGCCTTGCTGTTCCGCACCTGCTGGCTGTCGTCGGCTACGTCTGAACGTGTTGGCGATGCAGAAACGGGCTGTCTACTATGTAGAGGTAGGTAGGTACTTTAGCTGTGAGAACTACCTGACTAGACATAGGTACGTAGACGGGAGGTATGTACACGTCTAGAGGTAGGTAGGTAAAGCTGCCGTGGTTGTTTCAAGCGGGTACCGAGCCCCGTCCTTGTATGCCCTGGACTGCCCTGAGGGCTGGTACCTTGTTCCCTTCCTTCGGTGAATCGTTGAATAGACCGAGCGCCCCCCCTAGAGGCCGGGGCATTGGGCAGGCACTTGAACAGGCGCAGGGGCTAGGTTGCCCGGTGCTAGAATACAGGGAGCTCCGTCCCCGCTGTAGAGGTACCCGACACTACTGTAGTAGGTAGGTATACTGTGCTGAGGCGGCCCAAGCTCTGAACGGGCAGCTCCAGCACTTCAATTCCCCCGCCTTTCCTTCCGGGGATCATTCCGGCCGCCCCGGCCGAGAAGTGGAGTGAAATCCCAGCAAAGGTCCGGAAGCACTTCCGGGTAACGGTATTCCTCACAGCAACAAAAATACCAACTCCTGTTAATAGGAATCGCAGAAAGCCTCGTGACATTGCCTTCCAAGCTACCCATGCTGACCAGAAGTTCTTTGAATCAAGACGGAATGGGATCCACGTTCTTGACTCATAGAAGCGAGGAAATAGGTAGTATCATGTTCTATTCCCACCTTGACTACCTAGCTTTTCACCATCACACTTCGCCTTAGTTTAAAGTTAAAGAGCCCAACACTTTCATGACATTGGTCCCATACCAGGAAAGCCACCCATTCCCGCACTCGATGGAATCTCTCCCACTCCCATGCCTTGTGTATCCTCCATTTCTGACCTACCCTTCCTTGCCTCGGCTGTGAGCTCGCTGTCAAAGATGTCCACGGCCAGACTGACTTCAACAAAGTCTTCCAGCTCCTCCGTCACCGTCTTGAGCTTTTCTTTGACGGCAATCGCACCTTCGAACCCAACGATATGCCTTGCCGGCGGGTTCTCGTGTCCGCCAATGGCTGTCAAGGCATGCACCGTCTCCATGACCAGCTTGTCCAAGGTGGCGGGCGGAAGTTTCGGGTAGCGGAACTGTATCTCGTCTTCGCTTTGCTCAATGTACGTGTCCGGGTTCGAGTTCAGGACGGTGGACAGGACATCCCGAATATTTGGAGCCGGATTCAGGTCGGCCTCGTACTGGGGTAGTGGCGGCGAGAATATGAGCTTGTTGGTTAGGCTTAGGATTTCCTTATTGGGCTGCACAATCGTCATCTTGATGTTGAAGGGCGCAATCTCATATGCAAGCGAGTCACAGAAGCCCTCGAGTGCCCAGACGGCAGCTGTGTAAAAGGACATGCCTGGTGTCCCAATGTGGCCACCAATGCTGGTCAGAACCATGATATGGCCTGTGTGTTGCGCTCTGAGCTGCGGTAAGGCAGCCTTGATAAAGTTCACCTGCGAGAAGTAGACAGTCTCGAACTGGTCCCTCACCAGGTTCTGCGTCGCAGGGTTGGTTGATAGTTCCTCAACCGTCCCCACAACGGCTATAGAATCACAACAAGAATCAGCGGGTCATCCATCGTCTGGACATGTAGCTATATTCGCGATCCACTTACCTTCAGCTCTACAACACAGCATAATGTCAATCCTCCCGAATATTTGGACGGCTTCGGCGACGGCAGCGCCGCACTGGCCCATGACGCGGCTATCACACCGGATGGGGCGGATCCGGTCCTTCCATCCCTCACGATCTTTGCGGTTGCTCTTACATTCGTTGATGAGCTCACGGAATTCGGCACTGCGGTCTTCGTGCTCAATCTCCTGTGGTGGTAGGCAGGCGACTATGTAGTCGCCGTGCGCCAGGAGCTGACGTATCAGCCGGATAGCGAGTGGCGTGAGCGCAGACGTTATGAGCCATGTCCTCGGCGAGTTATGGGTTGCTGGTTGGTCCATTACAGGTCAGACTCGCGGCCCGTTTCTAGCAGTTATATGGAATCATGACTTGTTGGGAGAGGTGTAGCAAAAGAACAGGCTTCGAGGCAAATAAGTATAGTTCGTGATAGAAAGATTGGTATCAAGGTTGGAAAACATGTGATGTAGTTCAAGAGATAAGCTGGTAGGTAAAACGAAAAGGTGGCGCACGCACGGAATGATGCTGCAGGAATCGCATGAGACTGTCTTCCGCTCGTGGTCGGCGCAGCTTCCGAAGGCTTGCGGTCCACCATCCTGAGTGTAGGAGCAGGAACCTTGTCTCTCGCGTCTTCCTTCTCGCTAGCAGTTGCCGCTCAGTTAACAACAAAGGTGTCGGCTCGGAGCTGAAGCTTTGTCTTCAAGACGACACCCTACCCTTCCCCAAAGTCTTTGGCTGGACTGTGCTGCGTGTATCTCGATGTCAGCCAGTGAGTGAGTGGCAGTGTGACACTAATGCCTCCAGATGCCCGTAGATGCCGTAAACTTCACAAAGTGATGGCTGAGATGGGTAGAGGTATCCTGTTGTCTCTTCTGCACTGTAGTCGCTCGGTGGATTTGGTTCACGGTCTGCTGAGTAGGTGTTGCCTCGCTGCTGCCGTGAAACGAGACTTTGGTCCGGGATTCCGATATCGTGAGCTGTGAGGTAGTATAAGACTCAGTAAGAGGATAGTATCGTCCCAAAGACAGGTCAGATTTTATTACTCTGGGTGGAAGAGAAAAAAGAAAAAAAAAAAAAAAAAAAAAAAAAAAAAGTCACGGTAGCGGGTTTTGTCAAGGCTGGACTGTCTCCTCAACCATGAATGGCAATATTAGGCCTGCAGTTTGGAAGCTCAACGGCTTCATCCCTGTTACTTAGCGCTGCCCACCCACCAAGGTCATCGATGCCACGGCGGTCAGAATAGCGCACAGCCGGTGGGCCACGGCAAATGAGGGCGGGCGAGGCTCGAGCCTTTCTGGTTCTGGCTGATCGTCTAATGGAAAGTAATTGAGGCTCAAACCAGGGGACGCGCATTGCAGTGGTGCCCATATATATAGTGCGCATGGCCTTCGGATGTGCCTCCGAAACTCTTGTTCGGACCAGGACGGATGCGGGGACGGAGACCTTTTGAGGTAGTGTACTGGATCAACCATTCAATCTTGTATCCTGCATTGTGTTGGCTGCCACGCCGGGGATCTTGAGCCTGCAGTTTCACATCTAGACGTCCAGGATATTGTGTACCGCGGAACAGCTATAAGAAGGACAGAACAAAGCGTGGTGGGTGAACCTCCCCCGGGACTAAGGAATACCCCGCAAAGTGAGAACATGACCTCAACGGCGCTGGGCCCTTTTTGATCTCTGTGGCTTACTAATCTGTACATGACAGGAATCCATCTGGACAAAATCCCATATCTGCTCAAGCCTAGATGAACATCTTCACAGGTTGTCCATTGGCGTTGAAACCATGTACCTACTTCATACTGTTCTGGTCCCAGATATAGCTTCCGGAGCCGGTGAGCTTGGCCAGAGATAGGTAGGCGTGTCTTCCTGTGAGGTAGCAAGGGGTCTATGTATCGCGTCTGCCATACTGATGCTTGCCATGGCGATCCTCGTGGTCATATTGCGGCACATCACGATGCCATCCGCACCCGAGAAGGAGAAGAAGTGAGATGTGTACACTACTGTTCACGTTTAGATGGTTCTCCACCTTATAGGGCCGGATAACCACGCGTTCCCTCGGGCCCTCTGCGAGAAGCTGAATTGCTAAGGGAACGAAGATCAACTTCTGCCCTATTCAGGGGTTTGTTTACACACCCATGAACGCTGCTGCTTTTATCAGTGAGGGAAAGCGCTAGGTAGGTACCTATGTACCTGTGCGCTACCATAGAAGGTTTCTACGATAAGGCACAGGGGCGCTCTGCCCGTCCCTAGCGCCAGAGATACAGGGCAGCTACCCCACCAACGGCCAGTGACGTTGTCCCTTCTCACTGGAGGGGACGAGGGATGAGGTGTGGTGACCCCAACTGAACCCGACATCGCGTCCCAAAAGGAGGTCGACTTTGCGATTCGAACTGATTCCAGACCTCACTCCTCCGTTCGTTCGGGCGCCCCTGACACAACAGCACACCTGCGCAGTTCACCTCGACCCGTTCGGTGGAACGCCATATCTAATCTCTTCCGAAACAACAACCATCATCGTAATACCAAAAGCGCAAAGTGCCAAGCTCCAACATCAATCATCATGTCTACCGCAGTCATAAATGCCGACGACGACCACATGGAGCCCACGCTCCAGTCGATTCTCGACCAGCGCTCGCTGCGCTGGATTTTCGTCGGCGGCAAGGGTGGTGTCGGCAAGACGACAACGTCGTGCAGTCTGGCCATCCAGCTGGCCAAGGTTCGCCGTTCGGTCTTGCTCATCTCGACCGACCCCGCCCACAATCTCAGTGATGCCTTTAGCCAAAAGTTTGGCAAGGAGGCGCGTCTGATTGATGGTTTCGACAACCTGAGCGCGATGGAGATTGACCCCAACGGTAGCATCCAGGATCTCCTGGCTGGCCAGGGCGAGAATGAGGGTGCTGGTGATATGGGTGGTGTGGGCGGCATGATGCAGGATTTGGCGTTTGCGGTACGTTGTTGACCTTGGATCCCTTGCGCATTGCGTGACATAATCAGGCGCTAGATGGATGACACATGCTGACTCTTGAGTCTGCCATAGATTCCCGGTATTGATGAAGCCATGTCCTTCGCCGAAGTCCTCAAGCAAGTCAAGTCGCTCTCGTACGAGACCATCATCTTCGACACGGCGCCGACCGGCCACACGCTGCGCTTCCTGCAGTTTCCCTCGGTCCTCGAGAAGGCTCTGGCCAAGGTCTCGCAGCTGTCTTCGCAATACGGCCCCTTGCTCAACGGCTTCCTTGGCTCCAACGGCACGCTGCCCAACGGCCAGAACCTGAACGAGATGATGGAGAAGCTCGAGACGTTGCGGGCCACCATTTCAGAGGTGAACACACAGTTCAAAGATGAGCGCCTGACCACGTTCGTGTGCGTGTGCATCCCCGAATTCCTGTCGCTGTACGAGACGGAGCGCATGATCCAGGAGCTGGCCAGCTATGGGATCGACACCCACAGCATCGTGGTCAACCAGCTCCTGTTTCCCAAGCCCGGGTCAGACTGCGAGCAGTGCACGGCCCGCAGGAAGATGCAAAAGAAGTACCTGGATCAGATCGAGGAGCTGTACGACGAGTTCAACGTTGTCAAGATGCCGCTGCTCGTGGAGGAGGTCCGTGGTAAGGAGAAACTGGAGAAGTTTAGCGAAATGTTGGTTAAGCCGTTTGTGCCGCCACAATAGGAGGCATGGTAATATAAAAGATGTAATAATGATAATTCAAGAATTTTCCCTTCATTTTTGCCTGGTCGATAACCAGAGAACTGAAGCCGTCATGGGGAGATGCTTTTGGATCTAGTCACTGCGCCGAGAGTTAATTCACTTCAAGCCGTATTTGGAGATGCAACACCGTAGTACACACAGAACATCCGAGAGGCAAGTATCGATAAAAGAGATAAAAAAACTGTTTCTGTTATAATTCCTAGCCCTCGAAAGCAATCTAGATCGAGTAACACATGCAGCAAAATCAGGCAGCTATAAATGACGGCGCAAGCGAAAGAATTACGGTACGTCAAGTCCGTAGGTCGTCCATTGCCTATTTAGAGAAAGCATAAGGGAAGCGCGGGAGTCGGTTCATGCTGACATTCTCCTCCGCTGTCGTGATCCCTCCAACCATCATCCCAACCATCATCAATAAAGAGAGCAACAGCTGTCGCTCAAGTCCCTGTCCCCGGGCAACCGTCCTTCTCTTTTTCATAACGTCCATTATTTGCCGTCATTTTCCTTTCCCCTAGATGTTTCGTTTGCATGCCATCATATCCTTCTATCCATCCATCCATCACATATATACGCCTCTCACGCCCCACGGTGCCTTTGCGTAACCATCCTGCCCGCCAGCCAACCTTCCACCCACCCATCCAGTCCTTCCGTGATAGTTTCGAGATCAAGTCCAGAAAAGCAAAAACCAAAACAAAACAAAAAACGCCTCTAATGCTCTCAGGAAATCAGGAAATCAAAAAAGTGAGTGCGAATAAATACCGGCTGGCCGTTCCTTCGGCCATCCATGTCTCGTGGCTTTCTCATCTGGGTATTTTCGTTGAGTAATTCTGCTTAACGTTGCCGCGTTTCCCTCTTCGAAGGACATGCATGTGGTCGTATATGCAGTTTGGGTGGTTGTAATATGTACCACGTATAGGGAGGGTATTGTGTTGTGGTGTGAGTAAAATTCGAAGCCGGGGACTGTGCTGATGACTATCATGCCGGGTGTTTTTGTTTTCTTTGCTGCTTGTCTTGCTCCTGCTTTAGAACCATGGGTACCTATGGCATCCCTTACAGCTCCCGGTAATCACTCGGTCGAACCCGCCTTTGGCGGTTCTGGTGACGGTGCGGGTTGACGGGTTTCCTGAAGTAGGCATCGTCATCGTCAGCGGGCTGATGAGAAAAATTCTTGAATTGGTGCTGCTGGTCCTGATAGCCGCCACCATTATGCATGCCCATGCCGGCTGCTTGATTCATAACGTTCATTCTGCCACCGCCTGGTCGCATGGTGCCACCCATGTTAGGGCCGTTCGGAACGCCGCCGTGGCCATTCATGCCCATGCCGCCATTGTTCCACATTCCGGGATTGTTGCCATTGGGCATTCCGCCGGGGCCACCGGGGAAACCACCTGGTCCCATCCCGCCGTTCATGGATGGGAAGCCAGGTCCCATCCCGCCGGCCAACATCGGATTCATCATGTGGTTCATCATGCCCATGTTCATGTTGGGCATTCCCATACCGCCAAAGTTACCCATCATGGGCATGGCCGGGAACATTTGCGGCATGCAGTTCATAGCATTCATGCCATTCATGCCAGGCATACCAGGCATTCCGCCCATCATTTGCTCCATCATGGCTTGCTGCTGGGTTTGTTGGGCCTTCTGCTGCATGGCCTTGGGCGCCTTTGGGATCTTGGGGTTCTCCAGGGCATGTTCGGCAGGGCGCTTCTTCGAAACTTGCTGACTTCGCTCTTCCCGGTTAGCCTGTGTTGGTGGCGTTGTCTGGCCGGTGGAGCCGGATTGCATCGATGCTGCACTTGACGCTTGTGATGTCTGTTGCTGCGAGGCTTGCTGCGATGCAGATGGTGCAGTATCTGTCGGAGTCGGGGATTCTGATTTTGGCTTGGTTTCCTCAGTAGTGGTTTGGACGGCAGGAGCGTCGGTAGATGTCGGAGACTTTGCGGCTGTCGGGCTGTTGGGGCTGCCAGGGCTTTGGGACCCTTCTTTCGCCTTACTATTCTTTTCTGCAAGGAAAGCCTTGATCTTCTCAACTGCCTCCTCATCCGCCTTCAAGTCATCGATAAGTATGCCATCGGACTTGCAGCCAGGGCAAATGAAGTCGCTCTCAATGAGGGCGTTGGTAATGCAATCATTGCAATACGTCTTCTCACAACACGGTGTCTTCATTGGGTCTATGAACAACTTGTGGTCGATGGGGCACTCCAGCCCACGCTCCTGAATCTCCTTATCTCCCTCAGGAGTAGCCTTTTGGGCTGCAGAATTCGACTTGGCCTTAGCCTGAAACTGTTCCCATGAAGCCTTGTCAGGCTCGGCAATGACGAACTCTCCGTCGGCATTGACCATGATGCCAGACGGGGTCTTGGTTTCGTCACTGTCCCCAGTCTGGCCTAGGGCCGTTGCTTTGTCTACTGTCTTGAGGAAGGATTTGGGAATGCCGGTAGTCCGCTTCACGCGGGGCCGGTTGTCATAGTCGGGGTTGTCGTTAGTTGGGCACAGTTGGATCCAGTGACCCTTCTCGCCACACCTGTAGCAAATGTATCCCTGCGGAGGGTCATGGTCAGGGACGTTGGCAGGTTTCTTGGGGCCAGACTTAGCAACATATTGCTGCCTAAACATCCAAGTTAGTATCAACACATTTGGCGGTTATCTATGGGCGATGGAAAGTGTACGTACGTAGCCATTTCCTCCTCCCTCGCGGTGAAATTCTCGGTCTGAGCTTGGAAGACAGCTGCCATCTTCTCTTCCTCAGTCATGGCACTGTTAAGCTGCACGACTGGATTGGCGACTGGCTTAGCCAAGGCCTTGACGATCGGCTGTTCTTTGCGCGATGAGTTCTTAGCGTGTACGGGCATTTTGCCCGAGACATAGCGAGCAGCTCCTCCCCTACCCTGTACCTTGGCGGGCATGCGGCGAGCAATGACCGTGGTTGATCGTGGAATAATGGTTGTATCATCATCGTAAACTGGACCCGTGTCAGCGTTCTGGGCATAGTCATTTTGAATCCCACTTGGTTGGTACTCACCTTCCTTCATGCCCTCGTCGGCAGCGATAATGAGGTCGAAATCAGTGCCATCGCCGAGCGCACTTTTCAGGATGATTTCACGTTTCAGTTCGAAGACGGATATGCCAGTTCCGTCGAACTCCACACGGGTGGGCTCTTTGTTAGACTTGAACTTGAAGAAGACTGAGGACTCCATGATGGGTTCAGCTTGATGCGATGTTGGCTGTGGAGGCAATGGTCATAGGTTGCGCAACTGGGATGCCAAACAGGATCCAGAAGTGACGCCGCGCCCAAGGCAAACACTGTACTATTAGAAGACTCTCCTAAACGATGTTGACGTATGATACGAGTTGGGGGCTGGGGCTTGTAGAAAGATTTCTGCAATGTCTCAGCTGGTAGCGAATTTCTCCCCTTTCAACAAAAATATTAGGCTCGTTTCCTTGTTCCTCTGTTTTTCTTGCTCTTGGATTTGCAGAAGTTAGACTGAGTCAATTCTGAATGTACTCGTAGGAAGAGACACAAAGTGACAGATAAAGAGAAGGAAAGTACAAAGACCCAGCGAGACTGCAACAACCCGTTCAAGGGGGATGGATGGTACTGTTGGAAGACTCGCACTTGTATCCCGTCCCAGATATCAAATCAATTGCGCCACAGCCAGAGACTCAGATCACCTTCCAGGCCAGCCCAGCGAGCCAACAGCCAGAAAATATCGAGTTTCGAAATTTGTCAGTATGCGAAGCAAAAGCAAAATGAGAGCGGACTGGTGATATTTGAATGATGGCAGAAGGATGGGACGCCGTCACGCGTTGGTTGGATTGATATTGTGTCGGTTTTCGCTGTGGTATCGTGAAGCGTTGCAAGTCACGTTCGGCTCAGATCGTCGGTTGTCGTTCGGTGCGCTGATGGAATGGTAAAGGATCGCAGCAAGCCTGTCGCGAATGGTGAGCGACGCGGCGACGCTGGGAAAAGAAAAGAATCGATAAATAGAAAGTCGGCCGATGCAGTTGTGATGGCCAACTGATTGATTCGCCGTCGTGTCGCAGATTGAAAGTTTTGCTGGAGGAAGAAATGAACGGGAGGGTTCGGGGCAGCTGAAATGGAAATGGAATGTCATACGCTGGCGCCTATTGAATGGACGGATATAATGACTAAGCAGCCTGTGCATTGCAGGAGGCAAGTGAGCAAGTGTAGAGGTAGTGAAAGCCCATCGGACGTTTGAAGGAAGCGAGACACGGGTGCCTCCCCACTTTTCAAGTTGCGCCCGTGCCCTACACTAATGTATTCTATGTAAATGACTAAGCCAAGCACCCCGGCACTGGCGGCCAGCCGAAGACTGCTTGGCAGTGACTGGCAGTGGAAAACACCACCAGCAGAAGCCCACGGAAGCAACGAAAGGTACCAAACATTTGATGATATGGACTCACCCATACTAAATCGGTGAAAACATGTCGGTATGACCACACACTCAGGGTTTGAAGTTACCTCTGGTTTTCCAGTCTGTTCTTTCTTCAGTTCGCCTTCGATATCACGATTGAGGACGTTCAGGCCGGGTTATCGCAGGGTGCAGTGCGCATTGCATTGCTGCAGGAGCTGCTTGTGCTAGGTGGAGAGGATTGCATGATGATGATGATGACGATGTTTCTTGCGTTAAAAAGCGAGCAGTGGGAGCTTGGTTCCGTGTTACACACCCGCGAGGAGAATGGTCAGACGCTCGACGATATCGTTGGATCATTCGAAGAAAATGAGCCCACGATCGTCAGAGTTGCACAGTCCCCTCATTTTATCTGTGGCTCTTTTCTCTTTCTTTTTTTATACGTCCAGCTTTGGCCACCCGACTCCGATATTGTTGTAGCACTGCTGCACGACAGAACACTTTTCACGATTCTCCACTCTGCATCTACAGACACTAGAGGTAGGTACAGAACCCAGCGGGCACCTTGCTTCCATTTCCATTTCCACTTCCCCTGTACTTACAGAGCCGCTGCAGTAAAGTCCTTTCCCGCAAAGTGGAAAAGCGGTGCCCGTTAGCATAGCGTACCGGTATTTATCGGGTCCAGTCGTACCTACCTAGGTACCTGCCCTGTAGGTACACTAGAACTACACTACCTCTACCTAGCCGCGGGAGTGTGGCTCCTCCATCGGCCCATCCCGTCGGTTCGTCGTCGGGTCACTTTCATCATCGCTTTTCCGTCGCTCTCGGCTCTGGCTTGGTACTAAGTAGAGGTACCTACCTTTTTTTCCCAAGTTTACAAATCCTGCCGGCCCCGCGTCAGCCATCTTTGCTCCTCCTTCCCCAACTTTCCTACCTTACCTACCACAGCCTACAGCAGGCACCTCTGTACTAAAACTTCAGACTACCATCATCGCACCACGGCAATTGGGAAAAGAGGATTTGACAGCTTCCTGTGGCCGTGCTCCGTTCCAATGTCAAAACCTCTTTACCAGCGATCGTGAGCTGCGCTTCTCACAGATAAATACACACGATTCGTCCCGACAACGTTCACGATTACAACATCGCCACCTCCAGTGACTTCATTCCAGACTCCCCACGTTTCGACAAGCCACTGCCATTTACCAGTTCTATCTGGAGTCGGCCATCCGCCCGAGCCTACCTAGCTTCGAACCGTGCTTTCTATACACATCCAGCCCTAGGAACCAGTCATCCGAAACTCGAGCGCTTCATAGTCCCATTGCTGGACAAGTCGATACGTACCGAAATCTTCCATACGGCAATAGCAACGATCCTCACCCTCTTCCTCGGTCAAAATGGTTCTCACGCACACTACCAACCATACCTATAGCCATCCTTTCCCGACCGTCACGCTCGCCTTCTTCCTCCGGTACTGCTCCCCGCAGCTCAATCCCTTTTCTCAGCATGTCATGAGCACCGACACCCTTTCATCGCATGTCGACCCGGCCACCGGCCGTCTGCACACGACTCGCATCCACCTCAAAAAGTCGCGTATGCCGCCTGCTATCATGAAGATGCTCCCCACTAGCATTACGGGCGGTGCCACGACCGAGAAGGCGTCCTATATCATGGAGACCAGCGTTGTGGACATGAAGGAGGGCTGGATGTCGACCGAGAGCCGGAACCTGAACTTTGCCGGCGTTCTGTCGGTGGTGGAGAAGCAGATCTATACGATCCCAACGAGCACTAATGAGAATGGAAATACGACCGACGTTGCCACGACGGTGGTCTTTCGATCTCGCTTTGGGGAGCGCATTCGCGACAAGTTGGGTCACTTGCACGCACATGAAGTTGAACAAGAGAAGGGCGGCTTCTTTTCTCGGCTTGGCGCCCATGGTATTCAACGAAGCATCGAGAGCCTGGCGTCGAAGAAGACCCAAGACCAACTTGGCAAGAGCCGAGAGGGAATGAAGCTGATTCTCGAGCGACTTCGCCAGTCGGGTATCATGGGCGTCCTGGAGCTCAGAAAGATGGCACGGGAACGCAACATGGAGAAGGCTTGAACGAATTACCGAGCTAGGGCTATAATGACCATCTAGGCCTTCGGTCGTGCTCTGGGGCCTTTCCCAAAGCTTATGATTTGTTTACTTGCCCTTGCCACCGTCTTTGTCCACCATTGGGTATCACCGAGACGTATCCGACCCTGTCCTCTGCTCAATCTGGGCAAGGAAGTCCCGGTGGAAGTACGCGGACGAAAGACGCATCTTTTCCACGGCACCGCAAGACGAGTTAGGCCACAATTTCTGTGAGCTGTCTTTCTTGGTGTCGTGCTGTACACTACAACATTGTCGTTGATTTTAGCATGGCGTTGGTGTAAGGTTCTGTGTTGTCACTGGGTCGCATACGATGAGGGAAGTCATCCTCACGACACGCTCACACGCGAGCATATACCCGCGTACCCATTCTTGAAGTTTGTGAAGGAGGGGGCCAGCAACTACGGCGTCAGCCAACTGAATGAGGGGACTGCGTGTACCCTATGTGTTATTTTATTCCACTCTCTCTGTGTTGGTATCGGTTATGGAAAAGAAACGGTTTTGACAATGAATGTCTCACTGATGTGTATTGTGTATGTATATCGTATAGGTCTTGACGGAAGGCTAAGAACTGATCGTGCGAAAGGAAATCGAAAAGGAGACATGATGAAGACGTTGACGACGTTACAACACAAGCGTGATGCATTGCGGTTCAGCATTTCTTTGTCAATCTTGTTTTCTGGCAAAGTTCTGTTCCACAACGTGCTGACCGGTTTCCAGCGCAACATAGAGAAAAATTTTGATCGTTTTGAACCTCTCCTCATTCGCCGACTGGTATCGGAACACTTCATCCATCATAACCTTCATCACCATTACGTCCCCTTCACCTGACGAACCTGCCCCTTCCGCCTCCATGCTGTTTCCCCGTCTTCCCCGGGAACTGACTCCAGCTCTGAGGCGCCGTCCCCTCGCCCAAGGGCTGCTGGCTCTGCGGCGCATCCGGGTTCGTCGTGAACGGGACCGTGCAGTTCAAGCAGTCGACTCTGCCCAGCAAGAACTCTAGCTGCCTGTACGCCGCCGACGGCGCATACTGCGGCACCATGTGGCCCGACATGTCGATCTGTACCCAGGTCAAGCCTCGCTCGCTGCCCATGGATCCGAACACGCCGCCGGCCGCCAGCGTCGACAGGTCCGTCATGGTGTTGTACGGCACATAAAACGGTTGGTCGGGCTTGTTCTGGAACCCGAGCTTGCCGCCCCAAGTCATGTTTTGGATGCCCAGGAGGGTGCCGTTGGCGATCAGGACCATATCCAGCGCGCCGTGGCCGATGATCACGTTCTTGGTCGCATCGATGACATGCGGCAAGGCATGGAAGCTCGACGGCTCCGACCGGTCACGTCCGCCCACGAACACGTTCTGCTCCGAGCAACTGGACCACTTGACGTTTTCAGGCGCGTGGACTGCCTTCTTGACGTCGTCTCGGTCAAAATACACCTTGGCACCCTCGGGCAGGTACCCCATCGATCCCGGAAACCCAAGCACGTCCCACAGCAGGGGACAGGTGGTGGCCACCTGGTAGATGTTGAAGCACGGATTCAACAGCAAAATGGCGTCGAAGATCTCGTAGAACAGTCCCCAGCATTCGTCGCGCGTGGTGCCGGTCTGATCGGTACCGGGCAGCTTGGAGGGCTGTAGGCCCTTGGGCGGATACACCAGGTACTGCGAGACGAAGTCGGAATAGCCGCATTTGGCGTCGACCGACTTGATGTGCGCCCGGAAGGTGTCGTTGAAGGGGAAGAGTCCCGACCAGTACTCGGTGAACTGGACGACAGGGACCTGCTCGGCGACTTCGTCCCACGAGATTACGGGGTCGTAGATCATCAGGCCGGACATGTCGTAGTAGGTCTTGTCATTGGCGTCAAGGAAGGCGGAGGCGATGTAGGGGCAGTAGAGGCCGGCATAGGATTCGCCGGTGATGTACACCTTGTAGCCCTGCATGGCAAAGGTGTCGATGAAGTTCTTCCAGAAACCCATGAATTGAGCGGCAACATCCTCCTCGCTAGTGGCGGTGACGTTGCCGGTAGAGAAGCCGGTGCCGACGGGCTGCTCGACCCAGATGACGTTGGTCAGGGTGTGCCAGCTCCAGGGGTTCTTGACGGGCTTGTAAGTGCCATACTGCCAGAGGAACGGGCCGTTTTCTTGGAGGAAACCTTCCAGTGAGGAGCAGCCGGGCTACAAAAGTATAGTTTGTTAGACGGATGTATTCATATTGAGGGTTTGATAAGGGTGAACTTACACCACCGTTGAGCCATATCAGGATCTCCTTCTTAGCAGCGGGGTTCGTAGATGGGAAGAACCACCAGAAAAGCTCGCTCTTCTCCTCGGGGTCCTGGCTGATGGGCAAGGTGCCAGCATAGGACTCTCCCACATCAAAGTCAACATCAGGAATGTTCTTCCCGTCGACGGCAAACCCTGTGTTTATGCATGTCAGTTGATGAGCAGAGCTGCATCCAAAGTGGATCAAAACTCACTTGTGGTGTTGTCATTCAGGAATTTGGGTTCTTGAACTTTAGCAACATCACGCTCGACGACCGGGGCAGCCTCGACCTTCGCAGCGTGGTTCTTGAGTCTGTTGGCAACATGTTCTAGGTACTTCTTCTCAGCCTGGCCAAAGCTAGGACCGCCAGCGGTAGCAGTTGTCGCTAAGAGTAGCGACGAGACTAGTACGGTCAGACGCATCTTGTGCTGACAGCTTCTTTCGAGCGACAACAGGAAAAAAGGCACGTGCAGTATAAAGAAGAGGGTGAAGGATGGTGGTGATAAAAATAAAGAAAAATCCAGAGGTTTTACAAGTGAGGCAGTGAGGGGGGGCGTTTCACCATGAAGTACTAGACCGGCAAGAACAGAGCTTCCTCCTTTTGAGTTACTTCGTTCCTGAAGTTCCCAACGGAAGCAACGATAGGCGTGGAAATCGACGAGGGATGGTGTGTGTAGATCAGAATTTCACCTAGTTTAAACAGAAAAGGGAAGTGATCTGAGGCTGGAGTTCCACTCCGCCCTGCCTAGCTTCCGCGCTGACATGGCAAATAATAGCCTTCTTCCGAGACCGCCTCCATTCTTGCTGGTGCTACTGTGAGCTTTCACGGTTCGGATATTTAGAGGCTTAACCGATGACATTTTTTTTGGTCCCTCTGCTAGTTGATGATGCTGTTATGACAGAAAGAATCAGGAGCAAAAGGTCCAATGGTTTTTTTACACTTTCCAGCTCTGTCCATGGTATCCCTCAAGCATCAACGCTGTTGGGAGGACAAGTCACAGGAGGATGGGGCTTGGAAGGGTGGTTGGTCCCGGTCTGTCACGCACAACGTTTGCTTGTAATTTCACGGTGTATCCTGTTCCCGTCCTTTCCTCTATACCGAAGTACCTACCCGTCCTGGAAGTTGAGATACCACCATTTCCGTAAATGTTGGGATATAAGCAATGAAAAACCAGGCTGTTGGTCGCGAGGCACAACTGAGGTAGGATGGGCATGCAGACAGTGGCACGCATGTCAGACAGAAAAGTTGACAGGACCAGACCAGTAAGTAGCACCATCTGATCTCGGACTTGCACAGCAGGTTTGATTGTGTCGTTGGTGCAGCATCTTGGGAGGGGTGGGTTACGTGCGCCGTGTGGTAGTGGGCATTTTCGTCATCATACCTTGGAATCAACGAGTCGAGGGAGGGAGAGAGAAGATATGGAAAGCCTACGTTGATGAGACGGCCATACTATTGAAGAAATGCAATGTTGGTGATAATGGCAGCCTAGGATGACATGAACTGCGTCAACCTCCCGATGAAAAAGCCGGGCTGCCGAGATATCAGCCAATACGAAGCACACACATTTTGTTGGAGTCATTGAGTACGCATCAATCCCTGGCAAGTACATGAAGTACATTACCTCATCCCCAATATTCTTTGGAATACCATAGCTCCGTCCCGCGGCGCAGGCAAGGGACACGGAACATTGGAGCAACGAAAGACTCACTTTCTCCAGAGCAGATGCGGACGGTCCTGGACGGTCCCAGACGATGGCGGAGTCGTCTAAATTTCGCGCAGAAGTACATTAGGACAGAAAAGAAGTCAAAAGATCGAAAACTACGGTTCCGAATCCCGGGTCGTCTATCGATCGGTTCGCTATGTTTCCGTCGGCAGTTGGCGACAAGGGGACGAATATCTGGTTTTTCTCCGTCTCTCGGGACATCTCAATGGCAGAATGCAACTTCAGCGTTTCACTTGCGACTTGCGATACAATGAATCTCTGTCCGTCCATGGAAATGTTCCCCACGCTCACGAAGCGCCGGGCATGCTGCACACTGCACGGCGGCGGTCCACAACGGCCGCCACCATCCCAATATGGCAGGTCACTTACAAGTCTGGGGCAATGATTGGTCAACGGAAAACGTCCGCTCCGGCCCCTGTCCATCGCTCGCTCAATTTTGTCAACGGTGCCGATCGTACAAACTCGCGGTGCCGTGTCGAGGTTCCTGGACCCTTGATGAAGATGGTTATGCTCCCGGGCTGGTAAGTGTTCCAACGAGGCTTGACGCCGCGCAAATCAAGCTTGACCAGGCGGTACTGCGCAAAGGGATCCAACCCGATCGAATAGAGTCGGTATTCTGACCAGCCGTGGTTTGGTTGCGAAGGGGTATTTTACACGAAAAAAAAAGATAAAAAAAAGAAACCCTCCATACACAAATTCACAGGCTCCTGTGTGTGTGTATGTATGTGTGTGTGGCTGGTATTTGTAGCGCGCGGTGAGTATGACGTCTTCAGATGCGCTCCGAACTCGGCCTTACTTTCCGCCTTTTTTCTTTTTATCAGATCCTCCCACCGCTCCTCTAGCCTGCGCCTCTTCCTGAGCGATGAGGTTTCGGATATCCATGGCTGTTAGCCATGATTGCACGCTGTTGATGACTTTATCCAACACCTCCCCGCCTTGTAAGACATTAGGGAGGTTGTGGACATCCAGCCCACTCCGATGATCTGTACACCGGTCCTGCTGGTAGTTATACGTCCTGATCTTATCACCGCGCGACATCTGTGACTGAGACAGCACACTGTCTCTCAGGTCCTTTGCCTGCGCCTCTCTCTGTTCTCGCCTTAGCGACGCAATTCTCGAACGCAGCAAGCGCCAAGCCCTTTCTCTGTTCTGCTGTTGCGATCGCGAATCTTGCATGCTGACCTGGATACCGGTCGGGATATGGGTCAGCCGAATAGCTGATTCTGTCTTGTTGACGTGCTGACCGCCGGCACCGCTCGCGCGCATCTTCTCTGATTTGACTTCTGTCGCATCAACGTAGAAGTCACTTTCCGGGTTGTTGAAGTCGTTCTCGGCATCGGTGCTGTTTTCGGGGAATGATGGCAAAACCCAAACTGCCACTGCACTTGTGTGAGTGCGTCCCTGCTTCTCGGTCGCAGGAATACGTTGCACGCGGTGCATACCCGCCTCTCCGCGGAACGCTGCGAAGGCGCCGGGATCTGTTACTTCGAGGATGGCTTCCGAGATGGGAACCTCACCGTCCAAGCCTGGCGTACGGTCTTCGGCTTCCTGGTACGAGATCACCCGCGCAGAATAACCCTTGTTCTCGCAATATTTCTGGTACATGCGGAAAAGGGTGTCGGCGAAGTGGCGCCCTTCAGTGCCTCCTGGCCCAGGATGGAGTTCTATCAAACATGGCATGTCTGCAAACGGGTGCTTCGGTGTCAGGGTCGCTGAAAGATTGAGCCCCAGAGTTTCCAGGTGCTTTTTGGTTGCATCGAGATCGTCGTTAGCAAGCTGGCGTAGCTCGGCGTCGTCTGACTCCAGAAGTCCATTGAGCTCATCCAGTGCTGCCTTGGCCTTGTCCAGCTCTTGTAGGGCAGCGACAACTTTTGAGATTTCGCCGGCGCGCTTCGCGGCTGTAGGCTCGTACTCGCTCTCGAGTTGCTTCGTCAATTGCTTGTGCTCAGCGGCTAGTTTTCGCGCTCGGTCGAGGAGGACAGGTGGGAGTCCTGCGAGTGGTTGGCTGGCTTCAACAAGAGACGCGTCAGAAGGTGTCCCTCGGCAGATTGGATTCCACGGCTTGCGATCAGAATCTGGAGGAAAAAATGCTTCCACTTGGGATGCTGCGTACACACCTGTGCTAGCTTTGCGAAGCTGAAGAGAAACGAAGACACCCGAGCGCCTTAACGAATGGGCGCAACTCCGACATAACCACGGTGCCGCCAACATGGTTGCAGACAGGCTGAAAACCTTTGCGACATTCAGATAGCTTCCAAAGCTGGCCGTGTTAATGTCAAGGTCGGATCGATGTCAATCTCGGTGGGAACTGCTCCTCCCACTTTGCAAACGGAGGGGTTCCCAGATTCCTTAGGTCAATTGATCGTTACGCGGCGCGGGTCTTTCCCCCATACATTATGCATTGCCTGCCGGAAATTTGCTGTATTTTGCCGTAAGAAGCCGCCTGCCGGAAACAATCTGATGTCAGTCTGGACCCCCCACATCCCGAACGGCAGAAAGCGATGAATGGCTTTCCATTGCAGCCCCTCCCCCCGCAGCGTGTGTGCCTGTTCCGCCGTCTGAGGTGTCGTCGCAATTCGTTCCCCTGGACGAGCCACCCGTTCGCACTTGAGTCACTGTCAGCCAAAGAGGCTCCCTTTTGAAGGACTTTTCGACAACACCCCCGGATTGCCACCAGCACTCAGCAGACATCTTTCAACATGGCGACCAACGTTAACGCCGAAGCGCTCAAGGAGTCGCCCATCCCCGATGCGATCGAGAAGCACGCTGCCTCCAAGCAGACAGTGGACCCATACAATGTCAGTTCTGGTTAGGTCTGTGTACTTTGCATATGTACGGCGCACTGGTCTGACTGCCTCTCTTCCGTCGCGAACAGGTCCAAGGCGAAGTGGGCGAGGATGGCGTTGTCAAAGCCATCGATTACAACAAGTTGATCGAGGAGTTCGGCACCAAGAAGATCGACCAGGCCCTGCTCGATCGCCTCGAGAGGGTCACCGGCAAGAAGCCCCATCGCTTCCTCAGGAGAGGCATTGTCTTCTCCCACCGCGATCTTGAGCTTATCCTCGACCGCTATGAGAAGGGCGAGCCCTTTTACCTCTATACCGGCCGCGGCCCTTCCTCCGACAGTGTCCACGTTGGCCACACCATTCCCTTCGAGTTCACAAAATGGCTTCAAGACACCTTCGATGTTCCTCTGGTCATCATGATGACCGACGACGAAAAGTATCTCTTTTCCGACAAGAGAACGATTGAGGAGGTTGAGGGCTACTGCAGCAACAACGCCAAGGACATCATCGCCGTCGGCTTCGATCCCAACAAGACTTTCATCTTCAGCGATTTCCAGTATATGGGCGGCGCCTTCTACAAGAACGTTGTGCGCCTGTCCAAGCACATCACTCTTAACCAGGCCCGCGCCATCTTCGGCTTCAACGACAGCACCAACATTGGTCGCATTCACTTCGGCAGTATCCAGGGTGCCAGCAGTTGGGCGTCGTCCTTCCCCCACATCTTCGGCGAAGATGAATCCAAGACCGTCGCTATTCCCTGTCTCATTCCCTGCGCCATTGATCAGGATCCCTACTTCAGAATGACTAGAGATGTCTCCGCTCGCTTAAAGTACAAGAACTCCAACATCTCGTACGCGAAGCCGGCCCTCATCCACTCCCGTTTCCTTGATGCTCTGCAGGGCCCCGGCACAAAGGTACGTACTGGAAGTTTGTCCCTTTGTCTAAAATTGATTTTGGCATTGATTGACACGTGTATAGATGTCCGCTTCTGTCGACGAGTCTGCTAGTAAGTCATTGTCCCTACTGCTGCAGGCGCAGACCATGACTGGACCTACCACGTGGCTTGTTGCGGTGTTCTATCCGGACCTGTTGCTGACCCTTCAAAACAGTTTTCATGAGAGATACCCCCAATCAAATCAAGAACAAAATCAACAAATATGCCTTCTCGGGTGGCAAGGTCACCGTTGAGGAGCACCGCGAGAAAGGAGGTGACACTAACGTCGACGTTGCCTACCAGTACTTGCGCTTCTTCCTTGAAGATGACGAGGAGCTGGAGAAGATTCGCGTTGCCTACGAATCTGGTGAAATGTTGACTGGTGATCTCAAAGCAATCTGCATCAAGGAGCTTCAAACATATGTCGCCGCTTTCCAGGAAAGGAGAGCCAAGGTCGACGACGAGGCTGTCAAGCTATTCATGACGACACGCCCTCTTAAGTGGAATGGAAACCCGCGCGCCCCTGTTGTGGTGCCTCAGGTGCAAAACGCTGATGGGGAGGCGGCCGCTGAGGGCGGAGATGGGAAGTTGACCAAGAACCAGCTCAAGAAGCTCGAGAAGCAGAAGCAAATAGAGGCCAAGAAGGCTCAGAAGGCTAAGGAGAAGGAAGAGAAAGACAAGGCGGCGGCTGCCCAGCCTTAAAGGAAAGAAAGAAAGAAGAAAAAAAAGGAGACAGCAAAGGAGGAGATTCCTGAATTGAAATTCGTATCAACCGTTACCTCCCGTTTTCGTTACAAGTCCGAAGCATTTTGGAAGGTGATGGCATCGGAAGAGATCCGCGAACAAGTCACATTTACCGATAACCGTTTATGTCACGTCGTTCACGATCATGATATTAACAGAGATGGGAGGGGATATACAGCATACCGTCGAAAAAGTAGTAGAAGAAGATGGAGCAGACCAACATCAAACGGGTAAGCAACGCTGAGGGTATAGCCTCATCAAACAACCAAAGCTAATACATACGACCACAGATGGTAGAAAACTCGGGATCCCGTCCGCTCTCCCATAGATAAGCTACCAATCGCTTGACTAGTAGTTGGGTCGGTGACGACCAGCGAATCCCAGGTGTTGTATGTTTTTTTTTTCTTGTGTATTTTTTTGGGCGATGGTCATGCTATAGGCAAAAAGGACCGAAGTACTCCAGAAGGAGCGAAGCGAGTTGTCAAGCTGTTTGCATTCCAGGAGGGGTTGAAATGCAGAAGACCCCTCCAAATACCGTGAGGTTTTCCACACCACTCCTTCCACGCCCAAGGCAGAACATAGAAGGCATATGTGCCGGATAAACGCGTGGCCAAGATGGTCATAACATTATGGATGGCATAAACCTATGCCCTCTAGCTTAGAGAGCAGAATAGCCCACAGTGCCGTGGGTAAACACATTTCAGAGGGAGGAGAGAGAGAGGGGGGGTAACTTACACCAGCATCAGACAAAATCGAGACCCCCTGTCCATTCGATATCGTGACAAGATTATTACTTGCCTTGATTTACCATATCGTCAAGAGGATCGTCGGCGTCGTAAGAAAGCTGTGCATTGTGTGATCCCCACTTGCGTGCTTTACAGTGGTAGAGCCATATTGAAATGGCAATTAAGAAGAGCCAATTTCCAAGCTAGCCAAGAGTAACATCTATCAAAGATATATCAGACGCGGGTGGTAAATTAGTTGTATAGTCCGAAGGAAACCGACCAAACTCTGCAGCAAAACCTTCCAGGCGGTCGGGTATCGGCGTCAAACAAGTCAGGTTTAGATCAGGGAGGACGGTAAATCTTTTGGGGTTCTTAAGCCATTACGATATGTTGCTCCTTAATGCGATCTCACTTACTAGAAGAAATCAGGCCTGGTCTTATAGACTTGAAGACAATCAAACTCATAAGGAGTGTTCTCGAGCAAAGCTGAAGTGTTGTCAAGCCTGATGCAGCAAACTAGATTCTAGGTCTTAGAGTTTGACTTCTTAGGTTGACAGACTCAAACCGCATTGTTGATAAAGAGAAACAACATAGATTCAGAGTGACGAGAATGAAAAGGTAGAAGAGAGAAAACCAAGAAAATATGTAACAGTGAGCGCAGTGTCTTCATCAGAACGAGACGCGGACCGAACACAAAAGCTAGAAGATCCTTCTTTCCATCCATGGGAAAAACTGTAGACGCCTTTGGTCAGCAGAGGATCGAAGCGAAGCTATATGAGATTATGTTGAAATCGCCTTTTCAGAAAACTGAACAAACCAGGCATCCATCATGATACCAAGCTACCCTACATCAATCAGGATTGTCAGAGAAGCTGGGGTGGCACACATATCAGAGGCAGGATCACATCTTCCAACTACTCTTCACCGGAGTAGTCACAGCCGGGTAGCCCACACTCCTTGCTTGATGCCATGAACTATACGAACCTGCATGGACTATTGGTAACTTGATCATGGTTCAATCGGAAGAAATGATGATGATTTACCCCTGGTCGCGTAGAAGCCGGCTTTCACATGCCATCTCAGTTCTCCGTGTTAGATACGCGGTACAACAGGACACAAACGAGATAGTCGAGCAACGTCACAACGACAATGCCACTCTTGCTTAGTTTGGACTAGGACTGGGCACTTGACTTGGAGCACAACAGAAGGGATGAATAGTCCCTTAGGGAAAAAGCAAAGTAACACAAAAGAAAAGTCAAAGAACAGGTAGGGTTTAGTTTTCAGCCTCTTGACAGCATGGAAGAAGAAAAAGAAAAAGAAAACATCAAAAGATCTGATCCGACCCAGGCTCGATCTGGGGACCTTCAGTGTGTTAGACTGACGTGATAACCAACTACACCATCGGACCTATTACTGTTAAGAGTTCTTTGAAAAAGCGTTCTTATGTGCTCTGCATAGCGAGGGGGGGAATGTGAAAAAAAAAAAAAAAAAAAAAAAAAAAAAAAAAAAAAAAAAAAAGGTGGAAACATCACGACAGGCCATCCTTGTCATCCTCAAAAGCCAACAAAAAGGAAGCTTTGAAGAGTTGTGCCCAATAACAGGATTGAACTGTTGACCTTCGCATGACTTGATATCAGAAAACTGATATTAGTACGACGCTCTAACCAGCTGAGCTAATCGGGCTTTGATGAAGATCTGTAATGTTATCTTTACTGATATTCCCAAGGCATGGGAAAGCATGGAAGTTTGTATGGGACAGGTGATATTCCTTTCATGATCCGATATGTGTGAACATATACTCCTTGAACGCCTGACACAAAGGCAAATGAACCCTTCATGCACGCCTCCATACATCGCGAGATACGCCGGATAGTTGCTAAAATCGTCAAAGCAGAACAGGCCTGTTTCCTTGCCTGGGAACGTATCCGGAATCTAATGAAACGGATTATGAAAGTCCTAAAGCGTGATCCCCGCGCACTCCTTGACCTTCACACACGCCTTCGCCACCTTTTGATATCCATCCTTTTGCCACTCTCGACTCGTCTCATTCACCAAAATGGTCTTCCTCACATCCAGCTCCGTAAACGCCACCTTCTGCCACTCCCGCTTGCATGTACCCCCCATTATCTCCTCTAGAGTCCTTCGCTGTCGGGCGATTATCCGCGTACACTGCATAGGTATGTGCTTGCATGCCTACGCCGTCAACACGCAGGCCGGCATCACGGAGCATATTGATCAACCTACTCGCGCTCTTTTTCTTAACGGACGCGAACCTCTTGATAGCGTTTTCATCATAATAATAAAGCTTCACACTTTGGTTGATTTCGACGGCTGTTGCAAACGCAAGACGGAGGTACTCCTCCCTCGAAACCTTGTAGAAGATATTCTGTCTATAGCCGGCACCCTCGCCATTCAGCGGCGTCGTGGACCACGTTCTCAGGCGTAGCATTTACGATTGTAATGGTCCATGATCCCCCTGATATGCTGGCTGGTGGTGTCGGTTGCGGCTCCCGAAGTACTTGAGACCGGCTAGGGTGGCATGCAGTGAAGTTGGGCGGCGGCGAGACGGGTAAGGATGGGAAGAACAGCTGTCTATGTCAAGAAGGTGAGCCGCATCGCGAATGTCTACGACTGTGATAGTTCTTGTGATGCTGGGGAGGGGGAAGGCGAGGTGAGAGGCAAGAACCATCACTCGAATGAAAGGTGAAAGGCTTCCAGTCGCCTTGAGTCAAGCATTTAGACTGAAGGCGTAGGCATTACACATCACACTACTTCTTATACCCTTGTGAGGTTGTTCGCTACCGTGGCAACGGAACCATGATATGGAGATCTTGCCATATTATTTACCCGCTGGTACCTTGATAAACTTCCATCAAGCGTTGGTGATCGATCACATACTTCCATTTTCCCTCCCCATTGCTGAAAACTGAGACACCGGAGGCTTGACCCGACCGTGAGTTATGCTCATTTAACCGTATCGGACGTTAGCATCGCCGACAAGTTTCTTACGGGAGGTCTGGTATTCGGCTCTCCGCACCTCCTCATGGGCCTTGGCTTCTCCTGGGTAGATGAAGCGTGCATGCCACACGAGATCCCGGAACAAATGGCGCAGAGCCATGTTTACCGTGAATTAGCTTGGCTCAACAGGAACAAGTGAGTTTGCGTAGGTCATACGTAGGTGAGGAAGAGTGTTGCTATTCGACATCGAGGGTGATAACGTAAACAGACCTCTACACAACTCTTCGTCTGCTAGCAACATTGTCCAAAATCCTCAAGTGTCGACTGAAACGAACCTACCTTAGAGTACACAGTAACCGATATTTCGTGCCCAAGGCTACGATGTAACCAACTTGAAGGCTTGCATGAACTATTGAATATCACGTACAGTGATGTCAAGTTTATCATCATGGTCCTCTCGCTGGTGGACCAGTCGCCAAGACTCTGATCTGACATACGTCATATGGTGGTTTGCTCGATAATCGTTCTCGACACTCGCTCTGCCAACCAGAATAAATGCCTTCGAGTTTGAAATAATGTCAAGTATGGATCCTGAAATATCCACACGCACTCAAACTAGGCCAACTGATGGAGATTGCCTATCCACGTACACTACTGTTCGGCGGTGGGCCGTCAAGGTTATTCGTAACTGATGCCGGGTCAAGAAACAACGCCATGCCAAGACTCATGGCTGAAGATAACCAGGAGACACTGTGTGGATGTAATTCCCCGCGATGCAAACTTACAAAGACAGGGGGCAATTACAGGTAAGACGCTTTTGCAAGTCTGGAGTTCTGTAGGAGCCAAAAGTGAGGATGGACGATAAACCATCGATCCAAGTTACCGTTCATTCAATATGCCGGGGTATTAGTAGGATGAGAAAAAGCTCAATGATCTATGTAACACGCAGTTGGTGTTCCCGAACGCTCCACGATGAAATCAAGTTATGCCTGAAAGAAACCCAGAAAGCCAAACCCAATGCCGTCCCCGCCTCCTTTTTTTTTTTACTCCGAAACAGCGCCAAAGCAAGTCTCCATAATGATACCCGTGATCTGGTAAGGGTCGGCGTTGGACGCAGGGCGACGGTCCTCGAAGTAACCGTAGCCCTTGGCGCCGCATTCCCTAGGAATACGGATGGAGGCACCGCGGTTCGCAACACCGTATGTGAAAGAGTCGATAGAGCCGGTCTCGTGACGGCCGGTAAGACGCTTATCATTGCCCTCACCATAGACGGCAATGTGCTCCTTGTGACGGGCCTCGAGCTTCTTGATGGCATCCTCAATGTACTTCATGCCACCCTCCTTACGCATGTTCTCGGTGGAGAAGTTGGTGTGGAGGCCCGCGCCGTTCCAGTCACCGGGGATGGGCTTGGGGTCGAAGGAGACCTTGGCGCCGAACTCTTCCGACACGCGGTGGAGGAGGAAGCGAGCGAGCCAGAGGTGGTCACCCATCTCGATGCCGTCGCAAGGGCCGACCTGGAACTCCCACTGGGCGGGCATGACCTCGGCGTTGGTGCCAGAGATCTTGACGCCGGCGTACAAGCAGCACTTGTAGTGCGCCTCAACAATGTCACGCTGGACAACCTTGCCAGTGCCGACACCGCAGTAGTAGGGACCCTGGGGAGCGGGGAAACCGTTTCTGGGCCAACCGTAGGGCCTGTCGTTGATGTCGAGGAGAGTGTACTCCTGCTCGAGACCAAACCAGGGCACCTGGTCGGCATGAGCCTCCATCAACTTGGCGGCTTCATGTCTGTGGTTGAACTTATTGGGGGTGCCATCGGCGTTCCAGCACTCGGAGAGGACGAGAATGTTGGGGCTACCACGGAACGGGTCAGGGAAGACGGCTACGGGCTGTGAAGAAAGTCATGTTAGTGCCATGGTTCGGCAGAGGGTGCAAGAATGCTAAGGCTTGCTTTATCTTACCTTGAGGTAGACATCGGAGTTCTCGCCGGGGGCCTGGCCAGTCGAGGAACCATCGAAGTTCCAGATGGGAAGCTCCTCGGGGAGATATTGGCTCTCCTTCTCGGGAAGAGTCTAGAACAAAGCTAGTTAGCAATCGTGTCATGCGCAATGTCTGAAGCACATCGTCCGCGTTGTTTGCAGGTCGTCACTCATTCGGCACATCCCGATCACCGCATCCGTTATCGTTATGCATCGAAATCCGGGGTGCAATGGGATCGCCGTATTGACTAGCGGCTGGATTGGTCGGCATTGTGCGCAATCAATGCTCGCCGCGATAAGCACGGGTCCAGCCAAGAAACGCTTTCAGCGTCGGGCGGCGGCGGTCTCGACGCAGGGTAGGTAAGCATCGTGGATTGCATGAGTGAGCGGGATATGCTAGATTTTTGGAGGCGAGCGACGGCCGGTGGAGAGAGTGGAGTTCGAGATGCGAAGCCGGCGGGGCCATTTCCTTCTTGTCAATGCCGCTTGGGTTTCGGGCGTGGGTCCGCCGGGCAGCCGGTGGGCAACCGAGAGGGCGCCGGAATCCTCTCCCGAGTTGCGCAGCCATAAGGAAACGGGGAACAGATGAGCTGTGTCATCCTGTCACACTTCTCGCATGACTGCGCCACAATGAAAAGGCTAGGACCCTGCACAGCTTCCAGAAGCCTATGCACCCGAGGCTGGTGCAGAGACCGACACCGCGTCACAGCGGGCTGAAACCGGTCTTGCCGAGACGTGAACAAAGCGTGGAAAATGTGAGGAAAAGGGATTCGAGATCATCCCACTCTCATCGTCTTGGTTGGGCTGCTTGGGTCGTGCACTCAGAGAGGACGAAGGGCAAATCGGGGGAGCCCGTCGATTGGCTGATAGTATGGTGGATTCGGGGATGCGCCGAGAGTGACAACGGATGGAAGAGTCCATGAAACAAGTCGCGAAACAATGCGCAAAAAAGAACAACAAATAGACGAGAAAGAAACTCACCCTCGACTTTGACCTGGTGCCGCCTTCGCTGTCGATCCAGATGTACTCGGCAATAAGCTGGCCGTTCTGGGGAAGACGCAAGAACTTCTTGAGGTTCTCCGCATTGGAGAGGATTGTTGTTTCTGACGCCTGTAGCCCGGGTGTGGTCAGTGACCAAGTTCCAGCATGTATACGTGCCAATGACCCCAAACGACAGAACCTATCGCTCAGGTGCAGGCTGGGATCGTTGGATGCCATAGGCGCCGTATGGCACAAGGGGTATGGGTACTCACCATTTTTGTGGTGTGTGTGTTTGTGTATGTGAAAATGAAAGATATTACGTATGGACAGGAATCCCGGGTGTTGTTCGGGCAAGCAAAGTAGTGAGGACGTGTTGCAATATAAAGGCTGGTGCAATGGGGTATACTAGCGCCCGAAAATATGATAATGATAAAGAGAGGAGACAACAGATACAGACTGCAGTTTCAGCGGGGTCTGAGGCTTTTTATATTCTTTGCTTTATGTCGCCAGGCCTCCTCACCGTTGTCGCAGAGCAAAGATACATCTAGGAATGCGATGAGGTACTCGAGACACGGTGCAGGGTACGTGCGGTACGGAAGCCAATGTATACCGTGCATCAAGTCAAAGAAACTTTTTTCTGGCCTTGGATCCAGAGATAAGAAGCGGCACTTAGGAAAACAGGGGTTGCTAGCCAAAAAAAAAAAACTGGCGGGCCAAGCGACACTCCCCGGAGAATCGAGAGCGTGTGCTGTGTGCGGCGTCGTGGGTTGACACACGCAAGACTTCCATCCAGGAGCCCGTGCATGCCATCTTGACGGTCCGCCCAAACGAGAGTGGGGACTTGTCGAGACAGTCTACTTCGGTGAGTTCAGTGGGGAGGACAATTACTCTTGTCAACGAAGCCTACTGGTCACGGTCCAGAGCCCAAGAACCCGGCCAGGTCGTCAGTGGGATGGAGAAGGCAGGGCGAGACAAGGCGGGGGCGAGGCGAGGGCTGGATTTTTGCTAGGTACCTACGTTGACAGATGCACAGTATAATGTAGTGTACTCCTCCCCAACACATGTACATCCTGAGGTAACGACGATGCACAGGAGGCGGGAGGTCCAACTTGTCGTAGGTACGTATCTACTCGTTCGGTCGTCCAGGAACAATCTCACTCTGCAGACATCTAGACCAACGACACCGACCATCGGTTCGTCTTTACTGCCTCTATTGTTTTTTTATAACTTCTTTTTCCAGGAGATCATAGGCATCGATTCTAACTAGACATTGTCACTGTGTTCGTTGGTAACATCTTAATACGTGTAGTCTCCGACGTGTCTCTACCTAACGATCCATACAGAATTCTAGACCAAGGGAAGTCGGTGTTGCTGTGCCACTACCAGCGAGCAGACCAAGTGTTCCCCTGCCCCGGGTGTCCAGTTCTTCGCTGTTGCCCTTCTGTGTTCTATTTCAGTCGGGGCACTGCACTCCAGAAGATAGTGGGCACGTTTGGCACATTTGCCGCTTTCACAGGGTCTCAACAAACTTAGATAGGGGTCAGTGTACCTGTTACGACAGCACCGGCAAGCGGCAGCCTTTCACGGGAAATGGTTCATGATCGTCGGAACCAAAAGAGATGTTCCAAGTTCTTCTCCCATTACGTAGAGAACTGGGGACTCATCCTCATCTCCGAGTTTTACTGTTCAGTAGTGTAGTGTCGTGACCGTCTTTGCGTCTCGCTGTGCGTTTGGCATCCGCCCGTTGGTCCAGTGTCCACCCGCTCGCCCGTACATGCCCTGGTGTTATTCCAGCATC